AGAGGTTTTGCTGTGGAGGGGTGGGAAATATGGAAGCACAGGAGTGGTTTCCATCTAAGGAACTCTCCTCTATCTCCCAGTCCTGTGGGTTTTTGTGGGGGAAGAGTTTGGGTCTGGTTTTGCAGAGGGGCTGAGAGGAGCCCTGGGATGCTCAAAACCAGCGAGGTTTTAAGAGGAGATTTACAGAGCAAACTGAAATTGTTCTTCTTGCCTCTTCTTCCGTGGCATGCCTTAAGTCTTCTTGAGAAGGTTTTTAATTGGAGCACGCCACACTAAAAGAATAATCCCAGGTGTGAGTGGAGTCTGTCCCAGTTTAGCTGGAAATGTTCAGCAAACTGGTGAAGTTATGCCAAATTCTCAAGGGGCATTTGGAAAATGCTCCCAGGGATGCGCAGGGTGGGATTTTTGGGCTGTCTGTGCAGGGCCAGGGGTTGGACTGGATGATCCTTGTGGGTCCCTTCCCACTCAGAATATTCTGTGATTCTGTGATTCTATGAAAACATTTGTTCCTGAAATTGGAGTCATTCCTGGGATTGCAACACCCAGGCTGTGTTTCCAATTAATCTGCTGAAGTCGTCATGTATTTCCAAGTGCATTGGCTCAGCAGAGAGAAATCTGGCACTGGCTGGGGGCTGAAATGCCAGCTGGGATGTGCACGGAATGAAATGAGGGAATGGCCCCCGGGGCTGGCCCGGGGCACCTGGCCCGGGATCACCGAGGGGCTCTGCTGGAGGGGGGGATGAGGGCAGAGCAGGCTCCTCCTGGGAATGGAGCTGCCTGGAATTGTTGTGGAGTTACTGCCGGGTTTTTCCTGACCGCTTCCCTTCTGTTTCTGGGTGTGTGTTTTGTTTTGGGGAGGAGGGGAGGGGCTGCAGCGAGCTCTGCTCTGTGCACTCCCTGTCCTCCGTCCTGGGGGGCCTCGGTGGGGATGGGGGGGAGATGTTTGGGATGGTGGAGTGACCTCTGCACCCCAGCTCCTCCCAGGCTGCTCCTGCACCGTTGGTTTGGGAGGGGAACGATCCCTGGGGTCACTTTTGGGGTCGGTGTTGGGGTTTGGAGCTGGTTTGCTTTGGGATCCGGGCTCCTTTTGCTGCACCCCCACATCAGAGCCGTCCCCAGGGCGCTGCTGCAGGGACAGACACCCCCCCGGCCCTGGATTCTCCCCTCCCTTGCAGCAGCCAGGATTCCCAGCTGGATGTGACCCTGCCGCATTCCTCTCCTCTCCCCCGGGGATTTGCTGAGGAATAAGGTTGGATCTGGGGCCGGGTCCCAGCTGGGTGGGAGCGCTGAGCACAAACACTCACGGAAAGGCCGGGATTGCGTAGAAAGCTTCCTTTTCCAAAAAAAAAAAAAAAAAAAAAAGAAAGGAAAAAAAGAAAGGAAAAAAAGAAAAGCGCAGTATCTCCCTCATTCCCTGGCAAAAGAAATTCTGTCCTTGTTTCCACTGCTTGCCTATGATGCTAAGTCTATTGTCCTTCTTTCTGACAATATTTCTAGGATCACCTGCAGTACCAGGGATGGAAATTCAGAGAAAAGACCTCCACAGCTCAGCTGGAGCTGAGGTACCAGCTGTACTCTGCTTACAGGGTATTATGAAAGCAAAGAAATATATTCTTGTACAGGGAAAGGGGATGGGAGTAGGGAAAGGGAGCAGGGAAAGGGGATTGGGGCAGGGAAAGGAAAGGGAACAGGGAAGGGTGATGGGAGCAGGGAAGAGGGAAGAGAGCAGGGGAGGGGTCGTAGAGGCTCAGGGCGTCTCCTGCTCCGGGGTCAGGGTTGGCTCTTCCCTTTCTGGGGAGCCCTGCGAGCTGCCTTTGGAACAGGGGTGTGCCAGCTGCTGGGAGCTTTGGGAAGCAGAGCAGGGATGGGGTTTTCCTGCTGCAGTGCCTCCCTGGGAGCTGGGAAGCGCTGACGGGGACGGTGGTGACAAGACCACTCCCAAACTGGATCGGGGCCGTTCCCATCTGCGAGGGCAGCACTGGGGCAGCGCGTTCCTCGCTGGGAGTGCCGTGCAAGCCTGAGCACCCTCCTCCAGCCTGAAAGCCTGAACAAAACCCCAGGGAAGCCGGGACAGGAGGGGGAAGGCGGGTTTTCCATGGGTGTTTAACGCTGCAGTGCGTCAACATCACAAATTTCGGGATTCTGTTCAAACCTCCCAAGTTCCCCAGTCCCAAAATAGAGCTCTCCTCTGTGCCTGGGTTCGAAGAGGTCCCTGCTGTGTCGTTTTTCAGCAGGGAGGATGTGATCTTTCTATATTTGCTTGCAGGACAATAACACTGATGGTTTCTATTTTTAACCCATCAGCAGGGCAGAAATGCACTTGGGAATGTTCAGGGAGCGGAGCAGCCCCGGCCCAGCAGCTCAGAGAGGGCCTGGCCCCACTTTTGGGCCAGTAAAGAGGGGCCAGGCTGTGCTGGGATGGTCCCCCTGCCCTGGGGGACTCTGGGGGTGGTGGCAGGAGCAGGGACAAGTGGCGTCATCCATCGTCTCATTCCCCTCCCTCTGGAAGTGTGGCTTTGGCCACAGCTCTGTGCTGCTCAGGTATTGCCACTCCTGAAATCCCAGCCCTAAAACCACCTCAGACCTTGAAAATATGTATGGTTTTGGGGTGTTTTAAAAGAAAAACAGCTTCTGTCACCACCTTGATCGTGCAGAAGGGCTGCAAGTGATAACTTGCTCTCCCAAAGCCCTCAGAAATGGGAGGCGAATACCAAAACCAGCACCGACTTGAGTGGCAACCCCAAATTTGGGGGCTGATTGGTGGCTTGGAGCGTTCCGCTCCTGCCACCCTGCCCTGCTCAGCTGCCGTCAGCAGTGTCCTCGGCAGGCCAGGCTTGCGTGGGTCCTCGCAGGGTTTTCCAGCTGCTGACGTGAGCTGGAGCAGCTGAACTCGTGCACCTCCCATCTGGAGGAGAAAATAGGGATTTAGGGCGGAACCCGCTCCCCGGGGGCTTCGTATCACCCTCGGGGCTGGTTCTGGGTGTCCTGGGTTTTTCCCTGCAGTGGAAAACCCTGCCAGGTTTTTGGGGTGGGTTTTGTGCTGCTGCGAAGCTGCCGAGGCCGAGCAGCGACCGCGGCGTGTCCACGACAGCCGGCGGATTTTGCACTGAAATCCAAAACCCCCGCCTTGTGCGGGGTCCTGGGTGAAGGTGGACGGGGCAGTTTGGGTTTGGGGCCGCTCCTTTTGGGGGTGCTGGCTCTGCCGTGAGGGGCTGCAGCTGCCCGGGCTGGGCCTGGCTGGACAATGGGCGGAAGCCGGGACCGCGCGCGGCTCCCGCGGCCGCTCCCGCTCCTCCCGGGCTATTTCCATCGCATTGTCCGCGGCACAGGAAGGATGTCTCCAGCCCGCTTCCTTTCTGCCTCAAAGGGATGTGGGGCGGGCGGGGAGAGCAGGGGATTTGTTGTGCAAGAGGCACAATCGCTGCTCCTCGAAGCTCCTCTGACTGAGGAGAGGCGGGAGGAGCGGGGGGAAGGCCTCATCTTGCTCTGTCGTGGAGAAATACGGCCACCAAAGGGGGTTCTGGCTTTTGGGGATGTTTTCAGTGTGGGCAGGGCTCGGATAGTGACAAAGGAATGCTGCAAAGCCCCTCCTGCGTTTTTGCACAGCTCCCGCTGTTGTGGTGGGGCAGAGTTGAGGCTCCTCGCTGTGGCGGAGGAGGCCGAGCTCCCACGTGCCAGGAAGTGAAAGCAGAATTAATTAAGACGGGAAATGATCTTAATTTGTTCTGGCTAAATCCCTTTAGCAGCAGTAAAGCCCAAATATCTGAAGCAAAGCTCTCAGTCGGGGCATGGCCCTGCCTCAGAGGTGGCCATGACATCTCTGGGGGTTTGTCTGGGTGGCAGAGCCTTTCCTGGGGCTCTTGGTGCTTCCTGGCAGGAGCCAGACTGGGAAATGCCCATCTCTGTCTGACCTGGATCCCTGCTGAGCCAGGATCACCCTGGGAGAGCCACAGCAGTCCAAACCCAGCTCTCACATGTGCTGGCATCCAGTCCGCCCTGGGACAGCTCCAGCTGATGTTTCCATGGGGGAGCAGAAAGCTTTAAGGATCCCTTTTGGCTTTTTCCCTCGTCCCAGAGCGGATGGGGATGGAGCGGGGCTGTTTTCCCCTCCTCGAGCAGTGTCAGCCGCGTGTGCTCCCCGGGACTCCCTCCCTGCCCCTCCCCGGAGCTTTGTGACAAACGCCGGGGTCAGGGCCAGCCCCTGTGACTTGCCAGGAGCCCCAGAGCTCGCGGATTTCGCTGCTGACAGGAGGTGTCCAGCATGGGGTCAGGGCCAGCCCCTGTGACCTGCCAGGAGCCCCAGAGCTCGCGGATTTCGCTGCTGACAGGAGGTGTCCAGCACTGCCAGGGCGATGGAGCGACGCCTTGGCGGCGTCGGGGCCGGTTCTGCGTGCGAGGGGAAATCTCGGATGGGCTGCGGCCTTGTGAGGGCCCTGGGGCTTGGGGTGACGTTCTGCGGGGTTTAAGGCTCCCCAGTGTGTGTCCTGCGTGGGGCCTGGCCCTGCCGGGGTGCCCAGGGGAGCAGGGATGGCGCGGAAGGAGGAGGGGATTGGGCCGTTCCGCCGTGCTCTCCCTTCTCCCAGGTTTGGGCTGTGGCCGTGGAGGAGCAGCAGCTCTCTAAGCAGCTCCCAAGTGATGCTGGAGGAGCTGCTGCAATGAAATTCCACTTCAGGTTGGCGTGGAAGCTTTTCCTCGCGGTTTTGAAATCCCAGCGAGAGTGGGGGAGGCGGCTTCCTTAGAGCTCATCCTATTCCATGTTCCTGTTTGCAAAGGGGAGAGGGTCTGGTGCTCCCCTCCGGGCCAGGGGGGGCTGGAATGGGCACCCCTGGGAGCAGCAGGAAGGCTGGAATTGGGGCTGGACGCTGATTCACCGTGGCTTCCCCCGGGAGACCTCGGCGTTTCCACCTGCTGCCAGCACCTGCCCGAGCCCACGCAAAACCTCCCTGTTTATTTTGTCTAAAAGCAAAATATCCCCCAGAGGGGCGGGGGGGAGGGATGCCCGCTGTGGCTTAATTGCACTTAATGAGCCTGATGAGGCCGGCTGCCAGCGAGGGCTTTGCCAGGGCTCGGATCTGCCCGTGAGAACTGCAAGGGCGTGGTGGCAGCCGCGCCCGGCACCGGGGATCCGAGAGCTCCGGGGCCGCGGGGCCGCTCTTCCCACGGCCTCGGTGGCCACGGGGACCCCGAGGATCCACAGGGACACGATGCCATCCGTGGGTGAGTGTGCCAGGCGGGTGGGGGGGCCTGGCACAGGTGGGTTGGCGTGAGGGGCGCCTGGAGCATCTGGAGCAGGGCCCGTGGGCTGGGTCCCGGCGTGTGCCCGGTTTTTTGGGTGCCAGGTGGGCTTTTAGGGCCTGGATGTGTTTGGGGTTCTGCAGGGCTGACGCCAGCTCTGATCCTGAGAGGTTTGAGGGCTCAGCCCCGCCATGAGCACTGATTCCTGGGTCTTTGCTGCTGCGCTGGGCTCAGCGGGAGTTTCTCTGCTGGTTCTTTTTCCCTTTTCCCCCATTTCTGGACAGTTCAGCAGCAGCAGCAGCTCCTCTTTCTGGGTCGAAGCCCCAGGGCAGTGTTGCTCCATGCTTGTGGAGCACTCACACACCCACCTGCATTCTCAGTCCTGCCTCAGCCTCCTCCAAGGCTTCTCCTTGTGACTCCAGGTGCTCCTGGCATCTCCTCCCACCAGAAATCCTGCCTGCTGCCTTTCCTGTAGCTTCTCCATCCCGGATGGAATTCCCAGCATCTCCCCACAGCTGCCTGCAAGCCCCAGCACCAAGCCAGGTTTGTGGCAGGGTGGCTGTCCCTGCTGTCCCCGCTGTCCCCAGGGTGTGGCTCCTCAGATCCAGGCAGGTTTCATCCTCCTCTGCACTGAGGATTTGACACCTGCACCTTTCCCAGCCTCGCTGATGCCAACCCTGAGCTTTCCCAGCTCCTTCCCCAGCATCCAGGCAGGGGAGGCAGAGCCCGCCGGGCCCGTGGGGAAGGGCACCCGAAGTGTGTTTGTGCAGGAAACTGAAAATGCTGTGGCTTCCTCCTGTGACAGAAATAACTCACGCTGGGCCCCAGGTCTGCCCTGGGGAGCTCCTCGGTGGCTCCTGCTCAGACGCCCGAGGGTCAGCACGGGGCAGGTTTGGGGTGAGCCCCGGCTGGGCCCTGCCTGGTGGAGGTTGAGGAGTGCAAGGGCTGCTCAGGGAATTGAGTTTGTGCCTTTTTCCCTTTGTGCCAGTGGAGCTGGGGCTGCCCGTGCTTCTCCCAGCTCCTTCTGCTTCTCCTGAGCCTCGGGTTTTTTTCTTCAATTTCCTTTTCTGCCCTCCAACCCAGCCCTGGACCTCGACCAGCGTTCGCCAAAGGGATTTCCTTCCCTGCGGCTTTAATTAACGGGCAGGTCGCCTTGAGTAGCCACTCGCCGGGAGTGGGTATTGAGCGATTCCAGCTTTTTTTTTTATTTCGTCTCAGCGCTTCCAGATCAAGCACCAAGCCGCGCTGAGCCTTCCCCGGGGGGTTGTGACTCAAGCTGGGCTCTTGCAGCAGCGATTGAAAGGATAAATCAGAGCTGTGCCGGCAGCCCCGGGCTCCATCCCGGTTCCCGGTGGATGCCCCGGGCTCCATCCCGGTGGATGCCCCGGGCAGGGCGAGGGCAGCGCGGCGGGAGGAGCCGCCGATCCCTCCTTCCAAACCGGTCGGGAGCGTTCTCCTGCGCTTGGGTAACCGAGGAGAGAGAGGTTCTGCAATCCTTTGATCTCTCCGCTGCTTCCCTTGGCGCGGCGGCCGCATCCTCCCGTGCTGATGTCACCGGGGCTGTCACCGGAGCGCCCCCAGCGCTGCCCCGGCTCCCGGGAGCACCGGGCTGGTCCCGGGACATCGTCCTGCCGGGAGAGCAGGGAGAATGGAGGAGGTGAATCCCGCCGGGAGCGGTGCCGGATCCTCTCCCCGGAGCGGCTCCGCGGGCAGGGGGTGATGCCGAGCTTTGGGCAGCGCTGGGATCCTGGGGTGGCAGATGGGGCCGGAGGGCACTGGGCTGTTCCAGCTCGGCCAGAGCCGCGTGGTTTGCCAGCCTGGAGGTGCTGCCTGTGTCCCAGCCCGTCCCTGCCTGCGCTCCGGGCGGTGCTGGAGCTTTTCTCGCCCCTCAAGGAGAGGAGCGGCGCGGTGCGGAGGAGCAGCGGGGTGTTTGCTGCAGGGAAAAGCCCCGCGGGAGCATCAGGAGGGGCAGATTTGCTTCCCCACAGGGCCAGGGAGATGTTTGGGGCTCCTCAGAGCAGGGGGGAGCGGGCAGATCCCAGCCGGGCTGGGCGAGCAGGTGAGGGGAGCGATCCGGCGGGGCGGGATGCACTCTGGGGGATGTTTCTCTCCTGGAAAAGGAGGATTTCCCCCAAATCTCGTGGGTTTCTGTGATTTGAGGCTGCCTGTGCCGCTCTGGGGAGCACGAGGCCGCCTTGGCTGCCCTTCAGCAGAGCCCTGTGGTCGCGGCGTTCCCGGTGCTCCTCAGGAAGCCGCGGTGGCCGCGAGGTTTCCTGGGGACACCTCTCCCTCCTCCGCTCCTTGGGATGGGCTGGGGTGACCCGTGGGGGCGGGAGGCTGCAGGAAATGACTGCCAGAGGTTTCCAGCTGTGCCAGGGCTGCGGTGGGGATGGAGCCACTCGCCGTCCCTGCTCTGCCCTGGCCCGGCTGCGGCTGCAGGAGATGAGTGAGCCCTTTGATCCCCCCGTGTCCCTGGTGCTGCCCACGCTCAAACCGCATTTTGTGGGACCCGTGGGGCAGCTCCGTCCTGCCTGTGCCCAGAATTTCCTGTGGTTAAGTACCTGGATGTCCCTGAGATCTCAAATTTAGGCCCAAAAGCTTTTGCTGGGGGGGTTTTGCCTCAGCACATTCAGGGTTGGGTGCTCTGAAGGCTTAGAGCTCATCTCTGCAAAAGGGACAGCATCCAGGGAGCTTCTGCAAGTCCCAAAGGTGTTTCCTCCCTGTCCCTGGACTCTGGGCCAGCCCTGAGGTTTTTGGGTCCCGGAGCCATGAGTTTCAAAAGGAAATGTGCACATGTGTGGGGAGAAAATTCCAGGGAGGGCTATTAAATGTCTGACTCAAAGGTCACGAGCTGCAAAAAACCAGGGAGAGCAATCAGAGGAAGCATCTCGCCCTGATCTGCCTCCCCAGGCCTGATGTGCAGCTCGTCTCTAGGCTCCAGCAGGGAAAATTCCCATTTTTGTGCTTGGAGTGCCTAAAAAACTGCTCTGCTCACAGGTGCACGGCGAGGTTGGTGTGTGGCTGAATCCTGGTTTGTGCCTTTGGTTGTGGGAAGGGTTTTGTGCTGCTCTGGTGACTTTGCCAGACTTTAATCATCGTCTGTCTCATTTTTTTAATTTTTTTTTTTTCTGGAAACTTTCTGCAGAAGGAAGTTTGCAAGAATCAGAGCAGAAAAATTTGGGTTTACCCTGGTGGAAAGTGTCTCAGGGGGCTTCTCTTGGAGCAGCATCAGCCTCGTCTGGTTTTGGAGCAGGAATTTGCTGTCTGGTGGGGAGGGGAGGGATCCACCCACATCTGGCTGAGGCGTAAAGCCCCTGAAACTCCCACTCCATGAGCTCCAGAAAGAGTTATCAGAACTTGGCACCCGGCTGCTCCAAACATTACATCTTCCCTGAGCATCATCTGCTCTCTTATGGCTCCTGCGGGACGTGGCCGGCGCTCTCTCCGTACGGGGACAGCCGGGGGGTGCAGGGCTTTCCCTGGAGCTGCTTTCCCTGGAGCAGCTTTCCCTGGAGCTGCTTTCCCTGGAGCAGCTTTCCCTGGAGCTGTTTTCCCTGGGGCAGCTTTCCCTGGGGCAGCTTTCTCTGGAGCAGCTTTCCATGGAGCTTCTTTCCCTGGAGCAGCTTTCCCTGGATCTCCCACCCCTGGATCTCCCATCCCTTGAGCCCCCACCTCCGGATCTCCCACCCCCGGAGCTCTGTGCTAAGGAGAGGAAAGAGGAAAATGCCCCAAAGGCTGGGATTTTGTGGGATCCTGCAAGGAAACCCCTCGGGGACACACGAGATGGAGGTAGGGGACAAAGGGACGCGTGGGCACCTGTGGGGAGTCCCCAGCATCCCCCCAAAAGCTGGGGCAGGGTGGGTTGGGTGATTTTTCGTTCCGGGGAGCAGAGTTTGGTCCCTAATTAAAGCCAGCACCCCGGGGCCTGGCAGGGTTAAACGAGGTACCCAGCTCCGGGATTTCCTATTTCTCCAGTTCCCCCTTTGTGATCTTCGTGTTCTTTCAACACGGTCCCTTTGGTGTGGTTTCTTATTTAAGTGTTTTTAATTTGAGCGAGCTCCCTCCAGCTCATTCCTGCTCCTTGTGCAGGGCTCTGGAGAAGACCTTTTCCCTTTTATTAGAGAGGAGTGTTTTTAATCACCCGCGTTCTTCAACCCGCCTGAACTCTGAACCTTTCACAGCAGATCAGCATAAGATGGGAAAGGCTTTTGTAAAAGAAGATGGTTTGTTGAAAAAAAAAACCCAGCCTGGATTTAACTGCTGCTCCACCTCAGAGCGAGCTGTGGGCAGGCAGGGATGAGGGAGGGGAGGAGGACAGGGATAGACAGGGATACGTGAAGGGATAAATAGGGATGCAGGCAGGGATAAATAGGGATACAGGTGGGGATAAACAGGGATACAGGTGGGGATAAATAGGAATGCAGGCAGGGATAAATAGGGATGCAGGTAGGGATAAATAGAGATACAGGTGGGGATAAACTGGGATACAGGTGGGGATACAGGCAGGGATAGACAGGGATACGTGAAGGGATAAATAGGGATGCAGGCAGGGATAAACAGGGATACATGAAGGGATAAATAGGGATGCAGGCAGGGATAAACAGGGATACATGAAGGGATAAATGGGGATGCAGGCAGGGATAAATAGGGATGCAGGCAGGGATAAGTAAGGATGCATGTGTGGATAAACAGGGATAGAGGTGGGGATATAGGCAGGGATAAACAGGGATACATGAAGGGATAAACAAGGATGGAGGCAGGGATAAATAGGGATGCAAGCACAGATAAACAGGGATGCAGGTGGGGATAAACAGGGATGCAGGCAGGAATGCAGGCAGGGATAGACAGGAATGCAGGCAGGGATGCAGGCAGAGGTGCAGGCAGGGCTGCACAGAACAGCAGAGCTGGGATGTCACTGCTTTGCTCCTCAATAACCTCCCTGCCCTGCTTTGTTTGCCTCTCTCTTTATTTCCCTCTTATGTAAGCCCAGCTCTGTTGACGGCTGATTTGCCTCTTTAAAAACAATCAGGAAATGCCAAAGCAAAGATTTCTGTGCTGGATTTTTTTGTTGTTGTTGTTGTTCTTTTCCGGGATGGCTGGCTGGGAGCAGCGTGGTGGTGTCCCGAGTGACACCAGCCCAGCGCTGCCACCCCCAGCCTGGGGAACTCGCTGCCACCAAACTTCACCCTGTCCCAAAGCTCCTCAGGACTTTCGAGGTGCAAAGTGGGGCTTCCCACCCTCCCTGGCTGTCCCGGCCCTCCCTCCGTGTCTGTCCCACCTCGTGGCTGAGCCCGTGGCCCCTCGGCTGCGTTCCCTGCTCCGTTCCGTGCCGGCAGCCTGGAAAATGCTGGTAAGGCATTTGTGCCGGGGCTGGAGCACAGAGCCCTCATTCATGCCCTGCCCGGCCGCCGCTTTCCCAGGGCACTCCGGGGAGACTCCGTGTCACAGGCTCCCCTCACCATGGAGGATCCCTGGGGAGACTCCGGGTCACAGGCTCCCCTTCCCATGGAGGATCCCTGGGGAGACTCCGTGTCACAGGCTCCCCTCACCGTGGAGGATCCCCGGGCTGCAGCTGCAGTGCTGGGGATGGTTTGTGCCATGGGCTCCTGGCACCACGGCTCTCCCAGTCCCAAACTGGGCATCCCGGTCCCAAACTGGGCATCCCAGTCCTAATTTTCCATCCCAGTCCCAAACTGTGATCCTGGTCCCAAACTGTGATCCCGGTCCCAAACTGTGATCCCTCTCCCAGATTTTCCATCCCAGTCCCAAACTGTGACCCCGGTCCCAAACTGTGATCCCTCTCCCAGATTTTCCATCCCAGTCCCAAACTGTGATCCCAGTCCCAGATTTTCCATCCCAGTCCCAAATTGTGATCCTGGTCCCAAACTGTGATCCTGGTCCCAGCCATGTCTCCTGGTGCTGCTGGCAGGACCCAGGCTGGGTAGGGGACAGGGACAAACCCCCCAGAGCCACGGTGGGACTTTACATTTGGCTTTTTTTTGGGGTGGGGGGAAGGGGAGGAGCCTTGGGCTTGGTCCCCTGGATGGAGGAGGAGGGGGTTGTTTACTGTGACTGCTGGCCCAGGGCCCGGCAGCAAACCCCAAATGAATCCAAGCTCACAAACAGCTCCCGGGGCAGGAGGGGCTTTGCCAGGGGGGTCCGGAGCTGAGGAGGGGTCTCACACCCACATGGGGACAGTGGCTCCTGCCCAGAGCCTGGGTTTCCCTCCCAGTGCCACCAGCCCTCGTCCCGCACTGTCCCGGCACCCAGCACGGGGTGTTTTGTGTTTCCAAGCTCTGGAAAACCGCCCTGAGTTTGGTGGCCTCATCCTGGCCAGGAGCATCAGGGCTGGGACACCAGTGTCACCCCGGGGCACGCCAGGCCAGGCCCTGCTCGCAGGGTGCCTTTTCCCATCCCAGCCTCTCTGAAAATCCAGGGTGCCTTTTCCCATCCCAGCCTCTCTGAAAATCCACGTTGCCTTTTCCCACCCCAGCCTCTCTGAAAATCCACGTTGCCTTTTCCCATCCCAGCCTCTCTGAAAATCCAGGCTGCCTTTTCTCACCCCAGCCTCTCTGAAAATCCACGTTGCCTTTTCTCACCCCAGCCTCTCTGAAAATCCAGGCTGCCTTTTCCCATCCCAGCCTCTCTGAAAACCCACCCGGACATCCCCAGTGCGGGGTGGGCAGAGCTGGGGCCGTGGCAGGAGCAGGGTCCACGCAGCCTCTTCTTGCCTGGCTCCAGAGCCTCTTGGCCCTGGGGATGCTCCACAGCTTTTTCCTGGCTCCAGGCGAGTGCTGAGCAGTTGTTTTGTTTTTCTGGCTGCTGCCCGGCCTCCCTCTCCCCCAGCAGCCCCCATCCCTCCCGGCTCCGCTTCCGCCGCCTCGCCGTTTGTTTTTGTAGGGACTGAAACCAATGATGTGGAGAGAGATTCCCAGAGCTTCTCCCTCCTGGGGGTGTCTGGAGCAGCCCCTCCTTCAGCTGGGGTGCCCCAAGCCCTTCCCACCCCTTTCTGCACCTCCCCAATCCCATCCCACCCCATTTTTCCCCCAATCCCTTCCCACCCCATTTCCCCAGGAAGGGGCAGCATCAGGCTGTGCTGAGCCACGCTGGGCGGCTCAGACCCAACCTCGGAGCTTCCCGTGAGCATTTTTAGGGAGCAGAGGAAGGCTGGCACAGCCCTTTGGGTGCCATCAGCTGTGCCCGGCTGGGCTGGTCCTTCCCCCTCTTCCCCCCCGATCCCATGGGAGTGACGATCCCAAACACGGCCCCCCAGCTCCTGCCCCTCGTCTGGTGACATTTGGCTGGAGGGGACACGGGGTCAGTAATGTCACGGGGCAGGATTTGGTGCCAGAAGTGCCCGGTGCCCATCCTGAGCTGTGCCGGTCACAGCCTGTCCTTGTCCTGCTGCCAGATGCCCGTGCTGCCACCGCCACTGCCACCGCCACTGCCAGCCCTGCTGCCGCGTCCCTCATGGCGAGGGACAGAGGGGACAGGAGGGACAGGAGGGACAGGAGGGACAGGAGGGACAGGCAGGAGGGGACAGGAGGGTCAGGAGGGACAGACAGGAGGGGACAGGCAGGAGGGGACAGGAGGGACAGGAGGGGACAAGGAGGGGACACTGTTTTGGGGTGTAATGGGCAGTTTCAGGTGTGTAACTGGCACTGTTTTGGGGGTGTAAGGGACAATTTCAGGTGTGTAACTGGCACTGTTTTGGGGGTGTAACAGGCGATTTCAGGTGTGTAACTGGCACTGTTTTGGGGATGTAACTGGCACTGTTTTGGAGGTGTAACAGACAATTTCAGGTGTGTAACTGGAGCTATTTTCGGGATGTAACTGGCGCTGTTTTGGGGATGTAAGGGACAATTTCAGGTGTGTAACGGGCACTGTTTTGGGGGTGATTTCAGGTGTGTAACTGGCACTGTTTTGGGGGTGTGAGGCACAATTTCAGGTGTGTAACTGGCGCTGTGTTGCCGTCCCCACGGGGCACTGTTTTGCTTTCACCCCTCGGGGAGGCTGTGCAGGGAACACCTTCACTCCAGAGCCTTTCTCCACCACGATGCCAGGCGGAGGCGCCTGCAGCACCCCAGAGGAGTGGCATTCCCAGGAATCCCCTTCCCCAGGGGAAGGCTCTGCAGGCAGAGGATGCTCCGTGGGCTGCCAGGGTCGCACCAACCCCCCTCCCCTGGCAGTCCCGTGACTCAGCCGTGTCCCCTTTGTGTCCTGTGAAAAATGTGTATTTTATGATTGGCTTTTCGCAAGTATTAAAATGAATATTGTATGTGTTGTGTTAGAAAGTTATGCTGTATTAATTTTCTTAAGTATTAAATTAACTATTAAATACTGGTTTAGGTTATAACATAATGTTAAAATAGAAACTATGCTATGTAAGATATTTGGTTAAGAAAGGACTTGCACCAGATAGATGCCACAGGACACCTAAGCCTTTCAGGGAAAGGGAATTTATTGCCCCCTTATCAGCAGAAAACTTCTTCCCACCTCGCTCAGACAGGAAGATGGCATGAGGATTAAGAGGAAGAAGTTGACAGTGACCAGACAGAATCCTGTGTTTGAATGGAATTTATGCATCATGTATGAGGTGTATGAATATGCAACAGGCTGTTGTTTTTAAGGGTTAATCCTCTGTTAACCGGGGTCCTTTTTCGGGCTCGTGATGCCCAGAAAAAGGTACCCGGACGTCCGTATCTCTTTGTTTTTATTGTCTCATATTGTCCTAACCTCAATTGTTCAAATTTATTATTCTAATTATGTTACTACTATTAACCTTTTAGAATTTAAAAAAAACAAGTGATTGGCTTTTTTCACAGCTGCCGTGACGCCGTGCACCTCCCCGCGGGTGCCCCAGGCCGTCCCCATGGACCTGCGGATCGGGCAGCGCGTGGTCAAGCCCCAGGACACGGCGCTGCTGGCCCTGAAGCAGCAGCAGCTGCAGCACCAGCTCTTCCTGGCCAGCCTGCACCAGCAGCAAGTGGAGCAGCTCGCCCACCAGCACGTCAGGGTAGGGGACAAAGCAGGGGACAGGGCAGGGGGGGCCCACACCCCGCTCTTGGCGGGGTTTGGGGCAGGATTGGGCACTTTGGAAGGTGAATTTTGCCCCCAGAAGCAGGGGCTGGCTTTGAGTTCCCCTCTCTGGGCAGGGATTCAGAGGAAAAGGCTGGAAATCCCAACGCCAAAATAACATTCCCAGGTGAATTCCTGCTTTTCCCTGAGCTGGAACATCTGGAGGGCTTTCCAGCCAGCCCAGGGAGCTCTGTGACGCAAGGGGAGGCAGGTGGAGGGGTTGTGTCTCAATTCCAGGCCAAATTCCAGGGCTGGAGCCTCCAGCCGTGCTGCAGGGATCCCGGGGCTGCCCCTGCCCTGCTGCTCTGCCCCGGGGGCACCAGGAGCCACCGGCACTCACTCGGTTTGTCTGGGAAGTGTCACCGAGCTCCGGTGCCACCCGCAGCTCCTGCCCCGCGCAGGAATTCGCTGCCGGGTTTCATTGGCACAGGAATCCAGCGGGATTTGGTGGGGATGGCTCCTCCAGTCCCAGGGGTGGCTCCTCCGGGAGGCTTCAGAGGGAGGCAGGTGGGAGGACATGTCCAGGGAGCTGTGACCATGCCCAGGGAGGTGTGACAGTGTCCAGGGAGTTGTCACCATGTCCAGGGAGTCGTGACCATGCCCAGGGAGTTGTGACCTGCCCAGGGAGTTGTCACCATGTCCAGGGAGTTGTGACCATTCCCAGGGAGGTGTGACAGTGTCCAGGGAGTTGTCACCATGTCCAGGGAGTCGTGACCATGCCCAGGGACGTGTGACAGTGCCCAGGGAGTTGTCACCATGCCCAAGGAGTCGTGACCATGTCCAGGAAGTCATGACCATGCCCAGGGAGTTGTCACCATGTCCAGGGAGCTGTCACCATGCCCAGGGACCTGTGACCATGCCCAGAGAGTTGTCACCGTGTCCAGGAAGTCATGACCATGCCCAGGGAGTTGTCACCATGCCCAGGGAGCTGTCACCATGTCCAGGGAGTTGTGACCACATCCAGGGAGCTGTGACCATCTTCAGGCACCGAGGTCCTCCTGCCTGTCCCCAGGGCTGCTCCAGGCTCAGGGCAGGACTCATTTCCATGGATCAGCTGGGATTTCCCTCCTATCACAGATTTTTTTTTTCCCTTTTTGTACTCAACAAAGATTTTTATTTTTTGCCGCGTTGCAACACGGCAGACGTGCCCAAACACCCTGAGAGGAGGCAGCGAGTGGGAACAGACAGGTTTTGACTTTTACGATGTCCCCGGGGAGAGCAAAGCGTCCCTGGAGACCAAAACGTGTCAGGCTCGTTGTGATGGAACAACTTCACACGCTCCCATCAGCCTGAATGACACAAGGGACTGTCCCAGACTGCTCTGTCCTCTTGCCTGGGGCTGGGGAGGGGTCAGAGGGCTCGGGTGGGCTCGGGGTGGGTTATGGGGTCCTGTGCCCATGTCCCTGTCCCACAGGTGGCCATGGAGTCCCCACACCGCGAGGCTGAGCCGGGCCAGCAGGAGCAGGAGCTGCGGCAGATCCTCAACAAGGACAAGAGCAAGCGCAGTAAGGGCTGCCTGTGCCCGGGGGCACTCTGGGGAGGGGGCTCGGGGGGGTCTGCCCTTAGCCAGACCAAGCTCTGCCTTCCACTGGGGGAAAGGGGTGGGAGAGCATCCACAGAATGGGGCTGCAACCCCTCTGGGACCCCCGGGGTGGGTTACCCATTCAGGTACAGACCCCAGTGGGACTCCGGGCTGGGTTTGCAGCCCCTGGGCTGGGTTTGCAGACCCCAGACTGGTTCTCAACCCCCAGAGTGGGTTCTCAGACCCCCAGAGTGGGTTCTCAGCCCCCAGGCTGGGTTTGCAGCCCCCGGGCTGGGTTTGCAGTCCCCAGACTGGGTTCAGAGCTTCCAGACTCAGTTTGCAGACCCCCCAGACTGGGTTTGCAGACCCCCAGCCTGGTTCTCAGCCCCCCAGCCTGGTTCTCAGACCCCCAGACTGGGTTCTCAGCCCCCAGCCCGGTTCTCAGCCGCCGGGCTGGGTTTGCAGCCCCCGGGCTGGGTTTGTAGCCCCCAGAGTGGGTTCTCAGCCCCCCAGCCTGGTTCTCAGACCCCAGACTGGGTTCTCAGCCCCCGGGCTGGGGTGCAGCCCCCTCCCAGCCGCGGTCTCCCGGCGCCCTCTGCTGCCGGCGCTGGAGGAGCCGCCGGGGGCTCGCTCCCAATTTTGGGACGCGCAAGGCTCCACATCGCATCTACTTAATTACTAATTAATTAACTGACTCGCGCTCGGAGGTGCCGAATGCCGGCACAGATGAGCACGGAGCATTCCTGTGGGACAGACGGACGGGGAACGGGGTGGGAGCAGAGCCCGCTGTGCCCCTCGGGGGTCCCCAGCCATCCCGGAGCCCTGGGGTCGGGGTCCTGCCCGCAGGGACCCTTCGGAGCGGCTCTGAGCCCCGAGGGGTCACCGTGGTCACCGTGGTGACCGTGCAGGTGCCGTGGCCAGCACGGTGGTGAAGCAGAAGCTGGCCGAGGTCATCTTGAAGAAGCAGCAGGCGGCTCTGGAGAGGACCAGCAACCCCCCCGCTGCAGCCCTGCCCTACAGGTAAAGATTTGTCCCCAAAAGGACCTGTCCCTGCCCCAAACCTGCTCGGGGACAGCTGGGAAGGGGCTCTGGCTTCTCCCCGCAGGTCTCTGGAGCCCCTGGAGCCCGAGGGTCCCTCCCCTGCCATGCTCAGCACGTTCCTGTCCCCCGTGCCCAGCGCTGCTCTCGACACCCCCGAGCATTTTCCACTGCGGAAAACAGGTACGGCCTCGGGAATGTCCCCGTGTCCCCAAGGCCTGGGGAATGTCCCCATGTCCCTAAAGACCTTGGGAATGTCCCCGTGTCCCTCAAGGCCTCAGGAATGTCCCCATGTCCCTAAAGACCTTGGGAATGTCCCCGTGTCCCTCAAGGCCTCAGGGATGTCCCCACATCCCTCAAGGCCTCACGGATGTCCCCGTGTCCCTCAAAACCTCAGGGATGTCCCCATGTCCCTCAAAGCCTTGGGAAAGTCCCCATGTCCCTAGAGACCTTGGGAATGTCTCCGTATCCCTCAAGGCCTCAGGGATGTCCCCACATCCCTCAAGGCCTCACGGATGTCCCCGTGTCCCTCAAAACCTCAGGGATGTCCCCATGTCCCTAAAGACCTTGGGAATGTCCCCGTGTCCCTCAACGCCTCAGGAATGTCCCCATGTCCCTAAAGACCTTGGGAATGTCCCCGTGTCCCCAAGGCCTCAGGGATGTCCCCGTGTCCCTTAAGGCCTCAGAGATTTCCCCATGTCCCCAAGGCCTCAGGGATGTCCCCGTGTCCCCGGCTAGAGCTGGCACTGGCCCCACAGAGCCCGTCCAGCTGTGGCCAGGACTGACCCCTTTCCCCGCAGTGTCCGAGCCCAACCTGAAGGTTCGGTGCAAGCCCAGGAAGTGCCTGGACCGGCGCAAGAACCCCCTGACCCGCAAGGAGAGCGCGCCCCCCTCGCTGAAGAGGCGCCCGCCCGACGCCATCGGTGAGGCCGGGACCTGGACGGGGCTCGGGGGGACCCCGGGGCTGGCTGGGACAGCTCCAGGTCCTATGTCACCCCTGCTTGGGGACAGTGACACCAGGGCTTGGTGTGTCCTCCCCAGGGGCTGGGACAGCTCCAGGTCCTGTGTCACCCCTGCTTGGGGACAGTGACACCAGGGCTTGGTGTGTCCTCCCCAGGGGCTGGGACAGCTCCAGGTCCTGTGTCACCCCTGCTTGGGGACAGTGACACCGGGGTTTGGTGTGTCCTCCCCAGGGGCCAGGAGGTGTTGGTGTGGGACTGGGGATCCAGGAGGTGTTGGTGAGGGATGGGAGGTGCTGGTGTGGGACTGGGGATCCAGAGGTGTTGGTGAGGGATGGGAGGTGCTGGTGGGGTGGGACTGGGGGTCCATAGGTGTTGGTGAGGGGTGGGAGGTGCTGCTGCAGCTGCTCCTGCTGCTTTTGGGGCCCAGGCTGGACCTGCAGGGCTGGAAGTGCCCCAAGTCTGGCGTGGAGGGTTCCCACCACGGAGTGCTGCTTTCCGAGGGGATTCAGCCCCAGAAGGGTGGGGGGCAGAGGCTGGAGGGGCTGGGGGGCAGAGGCTGGAGGGGCTGGGGGGGGGCGTGGCCTCACAGCCCCAGAGGGGGGGGGGGCAGGGGCGGGGGGGGCGGGGGGGCAGAGGCTGGAGTGGCTGGGGGGGGCTGTGCCCTCACCCCGTGTCTGTGCCCCCCCAGACTCATCCCCCAGCAGCAGCAGCACCCCCGTGTCGGGCTGCAGCTCTCCCAACGACAGCCTGCCCGCCGAGCACGCCGCACTGCCCGCCGCCCCGGGCGTGGCCCACGAGGTGAGAGCCCTGGTGCCTCTGGGGACCTGGTGTCCCCTCGGGCCTCAGGGGGAGGCCACGACCCCAGCCCTGAACCCCCTGCCCGGAGCTGCCTCTCCCTGCATGCTGGGATGCCCTGGAGTGCCCAGGGATGCCCAGGGATGCTCTGAGATTCCCTGGGATGCCCTGGGATGCTCTGGGATGCCCTGGGATGATCTGGGGTGCCCCAGGATTCCCTGGGATGCCCTGTGATGCTCTGAGATGCCCAGGGATGCCCTGGGATGCTCTGAGATGCCCAGGGGTGCCCTGGAATTCCCTGCTCCAGGATGCTCTCCCCAGCCCAGCACTCCCCCCACACCCACCCTCCTTCAGGGTGCATTTCCCCTCTGCCAGCGCTGCCGTGTCCCGTGGGTGTCCCCAGGGCTGTCCCCGTGTCCCCAGCCCCGGTCCCTGGCTGGGAGCAGGGCTCTGATGGCTCCCGTTTGCCGCAGGCGCCGCTGGCGCAGCGGCTGCTGCTGCAGGAGAGCTCCCTGGCGCAGTTTGCCCTGCAGAGCGCGGCCTCCCTGCCGGCCATCACCCTGGGGCTGCCGGCCACCACCGGCACCAGGGTAGGTGCCCGGGTTGGGCCCCAGCACTGGGGCTCCCCCTTGGGGTTTGGGGCTCCCGGTGCTGCCCTCGGGCATGGTGGGGACAGTCCTGTGCCCTCCCGGTGCTGTGTTCTGTGACTGTCCCTGTCCCCGAGCCCGTCCCTGTCCCTGCCCTGTCCCTGTCCCTGTGCCTGTCCCCATCCCTGTCCCGTCCCTGTCCCTGTCCGTGCCCCATCCCTGTCCCTGTCCCCGTGCTTGTCCCTATCCCTGTCCCATCCGTGCCGTGCCCTGTCCCTGTCCCTGTCCCTGTCCCTGTCCCTGTCCCTGCCCTGTCCCTGTCCCTGTGCCTGTCCCCATCCCTGTCCCATCCCTGTTCCTGTCTGTGCCCCATCCCTGTCCCGTCCCTGTCCCTGTCCGTGCCCCATCCCTGTCCCTGTCCCCGTGCTTGTCCCTATCCCTGTCCCATCCGTGCCGTGCCCTGTCCCTGTCCCTGTCCCTGTCCATGCCCCATCCCTGTCCCTGTCCCCGTCCCTGTCCCATCCCATCCCCATCCCTGTCCCTGTCCCACCCCAATCCCATCCCTGTCTCTGTCCCATCCCATCCCTGTCCCTGTCCCATCCCTGTCCCATCCCATCCCTGTCCCACCCCTGTCCCGTCCATGTCCTTGTCCCTGTCCCATCCCATCCCTGTCCCTGTCCCCATCCCTGTCCCACCCCTGTCCCTGTCCCACCCCTGTCCCTGTCCCGTCCCTGTCCTGTCCCTGTCCCACCCTGTCCCATCCCACCGGTCCCTGTCCCCGCAGGCCGATGCCGAGCGCCGGGCGCTGCCCGGCCTGGCTCACCGGGTGCCGGTGCTCAACGGGCCGGTGCTGCCGGGCGCGCACCCGCCCGTCTTCATCCCGGCCGGCCTGGAGCAGCGCGAGCCCGGCAGCCCCCTGTCCCCGCGGCTGCAGCCCGTCATCATCCTCGAGCCCTCGGTCACCCACGCGCCGCTGGTGGCGGGTGAGTGTCCGCCTGGGGACATGGGGAGCGTGGCAGTGACAGTGCAGTGACAGTGCAATGACAGTGACAGTGACAGCGGCAGTGACAGCGACAGTGGCAGTGCAGTGACAGTGCAATGACAGTGACAGTGACACTGCAGTGACAGTGACAGTGAGTGACAGTGACAGTGACAGTGATAGTGACAATGGCAGTGCAGTGACAGTGCAATGACAGTGATAGTGACAATGGCAGTGCAGTGACAGTGAGTGACAGTGACAGTGACAGTGACAGTGACAGTGGCAGTGGCAGTGCCAGTGGCAGTGACAGTGACAGTGGCAGTGGCAGTGCCAGTGGCAGTGACAGTGACAGTGACAGTGGCAGTGACAGTGACAGTGGCACTGCAGTGACAGTGACAGTGAGTGACAGTGACAGTGCCAGTGGCAGTGACAGTGACAGTGGCAGTGACAGTGACAGTGCAGTGACAGTGGCAGTGACAGTGACAGTGCAGCGACAGTATATATAATATAAAGAAATATTTTATATTTTTATTATTAATATAAAATAACACATTATTACTGATATTTATAGTCTTTATATTATTTATGGGGGTTTTATTATTTTTAGTTTTAATTTTTTAAAATACATTTTTAAAAAATATTTGACATCTTTACATTTTACATTATGGTAGTAATATTTCTATTAATAATACAATTCGATAAATTATCACTATTAATATCTATATTATTTTAATTAGCTTCATTTTTAATGTTCTATTTTTGAAAATATAACTTAAAAAAACCCCACATTTGACATCTTTACATTTTATATTACGGTAGTATCATTTATATTAATAATATAATTCGATAAATTATATATTATGTATATATTATATATAATATCTATATTATATATATATATATTACAATGTTCTCTTTTTGAAAATATAACCTAAAAATTGACATTCTGGCATTTCTCGACGCGGCAGTGCCGGGCCTGGGCGCCGTGCCGCTGCCGCTGGTGCCCGCCGAGCGGCTGGCGCTGCCCGGGCAGCACAAACCGCTGGGCAGGACGCGCTCGGAGCCGCTGCCGCCCAGCCCCAGCGCCGCGCAGCAGCACCTGCTCTTCCAGCAGCACTTCCTCGAGAGGCTGCGGCAGCAGACGCACCTGGGCAAGGTGGGAGCCGCCGGGAAAGCGGATTGCGAACGGGCGGGGGGGGGGATGTTAATTGGTGGGGGGTTTTAATTAAGGGTAGGTGCTGATGAGAACGGTGAGGAAGGTGGGGGAGAAGGACTGGGTTCTGCCTTAAAAATTCTATTTTGCTTTATATGTAATATTATCTATTATCTGTTATCTATGATATATTATCTATTATCCATTATGTATTATATGTTATCTATTATATATTATCTATTACATATTTTATATATATGTATAAAATATATAATATTCTATATTATATATTCTATATTTATATTATATATTATATATAGCATCTCATATATTCTATATTCTATATTCTATTCTATATTCTATATAATATATATAATATTATATATTATATATTATATATTATATATTATATATTATACATTATATATTATATATTATATATTATATATGGCATATCATATATTATATATTATATACAATATGATATATTATATATGATATATTATATATTATATATTGTACATATATGCTATATGGTGTGTGGTTATATATTGTATATATATGGTATATGGTATATTATATATTATATATTAAATGTATGGCATATGGTATGTGGTATATTATATATTATATATTATATATTGTATATATATGGTATATGGTATATGGTATATTATATATTATATATTATATATATGGTATGTGATATATTATATATTATATATTGTATATACATGGTATATTATATATGATATATTCTATATCATATATATTACATATCATATCGTATGTATTACATATTACATACAATATAGAATATATTACACATCATATATAATTTTTATATACTATTAATAGATCATATAGCTATCTTTTAAAGCTTGTTTTTAGTTTCGTTTTTCTCTCAACAATCTGTCTTATTCTACAACATTTCTGTCAGCATTTTTAATCTCCTTACATACAAATACATTAAAAAATATGTTTATATATACACACATATATTTACATACATACATATATATATACACACAATTATAAGTTTATATACAATTATATACTATGCAAGCCTTTTGTTAGACGTGAAGAACTTTCTAGAAATGCCTTTTTCTCGCTGTCCCCTCGGCTGCAGCGCATGGCCAAGTCCAGCGAGAAGCCCCGGCTGCGGCAGATCCCGTCCTCGGAGGACATGGAGGCCGAGGGGACCCTCCCGGAGGGGACCCTCCCGGAGGGGGACCCCAGCAGGGCGCGGCTGGAGCCCCCCCGGCCCGGCAGCAGCGGGAAGGAGCCCGAGAGGACGCAGAAGATGGGGCAGCCCCCGGAGGAGCTGGTCCTGCAGCAGGTACGGAAGGGACCGGGCTGTGCAGCTCGCAGGGACAGGGGCAGAGCTGCGGCCACCGCCGGTGTCATACAGCTGCGTGTTGTCCCCGAATTGCCCGGTATCGTCCCCGAATTGCCGGGCTTTGTCCTCAAATTGCCGGGCTTTGTCCTCAAATTGCCGGGCTATGTCCCCGAATTGCCGGGCTTTGTCCTCAAATTGTCGGGTTTTGTCCCCAGGTTGCCGGAACTTTGTGCTCAAGTTTCTGGGCATCGTCCCCGAATTGCCGGGCTGTGTCCCCATATTGCTGGGCTTTGTCCTCAAATTGTCGGGCTTTTCCCCAGATTGTCTGGTTTTTCCCGAATTGTCGGTTTTTCCCGAATTGTCGGGTTTTCCCGAATTGTCGGTTTTTTCCCGAATTGCCGGCTCTGTCCCATCGCTGTTGTCACTGCGGGGCTGAGCCGGCAGGGAGCAGCAGATGCTGGGACAGTCCTGTCCTGTCCTGCTTGTCCTGTCCTGCTTATCCTGTCTTGTCCTGCCTTGTCCTTCTTGTCCTGTCCCATCCTGTCCTGCTTGTCCTGCCTTGTCCTGTCCCCCCCTGTCCTGTCCTGCCTGTCCTGCTTGTCCTGTACTGTCCCCTCCTGTCCTGTCCCATCTTGTCCTGTCCCCTCCTGTCCTGTTTTGCCCTGTCCTTCTTGTCATGTACTGTCCCCTCCTGTCCTGTTTTGCCCTGTCCTGCCTTGTCCCATCCTGTCCTGCTTGTCCTGTCCCATCCTGTCCTGTCCTGCCTGTCCTTCTTGTCATGTCCTGTCCCCTCCTGTCCTGTTTTGCCCTGTCCTGCCTTGTCCCGTCCTGTCCCATCCTGTCCCGACTCCAAGCCCGGAGCAGCCGCTGGATGCGGCCCTAGACACACCAAGCGGGGCTCTGTCCCCTGTCCCCCGTGCTGGGGAGGCTGGCCTGTCCCCTGACGGTGTCCTGTGTCCCCAGGCCTTCCTGTGGGACTCCTTCCAGCGGGTGCAGCAGCAGCTCCTCAAGCGCCAGCCCTTGGCCGACCCCCCCGTGCTCCCCCCCGGCCACCGGCCGCTGTCCAGGGCTCAGTCGTCCCCAGCCACGGCCACCGTGTCCCTCCCTGCCCAGGACACCAAGGCGCTGGCCCTGCCCGTGCAGGAGCAGCCGCCCAAGCCACACTTCACCACAGGTACGGTCACCCTGCGGGGCTGTCACCGCTGGGCAGGGACAGGAGGGGACCTGCGGATGTCCTGGGGTGGCTCCGGGTCATTCCTGGACTTGGGAGTGCCAGGAGAGAGCTGGGGGGACTCCTTCTCCTTATCTGGGGGTGCCCGTCTCCTTATCTGGGGGGGCTGTTCCAGGTAGGGTTTGCCCACCTGGCCCCTGGTTGCATTCCTGGGGTTTGGGCCAGAATCTCCCAGGATCAGGGCAGAATCTCCCATGGTTTGGGTCAGAATTTCCCAGGTTTGGGGGAGAATCTCCTGTGTTTGTGGACAGGATCTCCCATGGTTTGGGAGCAGAATCTCTCAGGTTTGGGACAGAATTTCCTGTGGTTTGGGAACAGAATCTCTCATGTTTGGGGGCAGAATCTCCCGTGGTTTGAGAACAGAATCTCCCAGGTTTGGGTCAGAATCTCTCAGCTTTGGGGCAGAATCTCCCGTGGTTTGGGGGGATTTTGGTCAACATCTGGGCTCTCGGAGGCCCTGCCAAGGAGCTGAGGGTGCAGCTCTGGCGCTGCCTGGCAGGGCTGGTTTACGACTCGGTGATGCTGAAGCACCAGTGCTCCTGCGGGGACAACAGCAACCACCCCGAGCACGCCGGCAGGATCCAGAGCATCTGGTCCCGCCTGCAGGAGCGGGGCCTGCGCAGCCGCTGCGAGGTGAGCTGGGAGGGGCCGGGCCCGCCTCCGTCCCTGCCCATCCCATCCCATTCCTCCCGATCCCATCCCACCCTTCCCGATCCCATTCCACCCCTCCTGATCCCACTCCGTACCTCCTGATCCCACCCGATCCTTCCTGACCCCATTCCATCCTTCCTGATCCCACCCGATCCCTCCTGACCCCATTCCATCCTTCCTGATCCCACTCCATCCCTCCTGACCCCATTCCATCCCTCCTGATCCCATTCCACCCCTCCTGAACCAATCCCACCCCTCCTGATCCCACTGATCCCATTCCATTCCACCCCTCCCGACCCCATCCCACCCCCCCTCCCCCCGTTTGTCACCATTTCCTTGCTCAGTTCCCTGCTCTGCCCATCTCCCCCCGGGATTTGGGCTCTGCTGGTCACAGGCAGGGGCTGATCCCCCCAAACCAGCGAGTTTTACCAGGCCCAGCTTAGTAAAACCCAGCCTAGGGCTGGCCCTGGCTGCCTGACTGCAATTTGGGGCTGCTCAGGTTCCATCCCCGGGGGTCCTGGACAGCAGGAGGGGGTGGGGGGGATCCCCCGCGTGTCCCCCCGGTGACAGCCGTGTCCCCCAGTGCCTGCGGGGCCGCAAGGCCACCCTGGAGGAGCTGCAGTGCGTGCACAGCGAGCGCCACGTGCTGCTCTACGGCACCAACCCCCTCAACCGCCTCAAACTGGACAACGGCAAGCTGGCAGGTGGGTCCCCACCCCTCCTGCCACCCTGTCACCTGTCCCCTGGGGCTGGGGATGGCTCCCAGCAGCTCCCCGGGGTGCTGGGCCCACCCTGGTGCTGCTTGCCCTGAGTCCCCGCTGGTCCCTCTCTCCACAGGGATCCTGTCCCAGAGGACGTTTGTGATGCTGCCCTGCGGAGGGGTGGGGGTGAGTGCTCCACCCCTGACCTGGGTTTTGGGGTCACTGCCCCATCCCTGCTCGTGGTTTTGGGGTCACTGCTCCATCCATGCTCCTGGTTTTGGGGTCACTGTTCCACCCCTGCTCTGGGTTTTGGGGTCGTTGTTCCACCCCTGATCCAGGTTTTGGGGTCACTGCCCCATCCATGCTCCTGGTTTTGGGGTCACTGTTCCACCCCTGCTCTGGGTTTTGGGGTCGTTGTTCCACCCCTGATCCAGGTTTTGGGGTCACTGCTGAATCCCTGCTCTGGGTTTTGGGGTCACTGCCCCATCCCTGCTCCTGGTTCTGGGGTCACTGCCCCATCCCTGCTCCTGGTTTTGGGGTCACTGCCCCATCCCTGCTCGTGGTTTTGGGGTCACTGCTCCATCCATGCTCCTGGTTTTGGGGTCACTGTTCCACCCCTGCTCTGGGTTTTGGGGTCGTTGTTCCACCCCTGATCCTGGTTTTGGGGTCACTGCCCCATCCCTGCTCTGGGTTTTGGGGTCACTGCCCCATCCCTGCTCCTGGTTTTGGGGTCACTGCCCCATCCCTGCTCCTGGTTTTGGGGTCACTGCCCCATCCCTGCTCTGCCCTTTGGCCAGGGCTGTTCCTTTTTGGCCCCTCAGGATCTCGGGGCAGCTCCCGAAGCCTCTGGGCTGCCTGGGTGGGGGTGTTTGATGGAGATGTTGGACCAGAGCAGCTCGGGGTCCTTGGGGGTGTCTGAGCATCCCCCTCTGCAAGGGGCTCCTCGATCCAGAGCCCCCCAAGGGGCTGGCAGGAGGGGGTCCCCACTGAGGGAGGGCAGCAGTGACACGGGGACAGCAGCTCGTCCCTTCCGAGGCCTCTCCATTCCCAGCTTTCCCTCCTGGTTTCTCTGCATTCACTGCCTTCTCCTCTCCTCCTGTCCCTGTCCTGTCCCTATCCCTGTCCTGTCCCTGTCCCTGTCCTGTCTCTCTCTCTCTTTCAGGAAGGGGCTCCCTTGGTGCCCTCCTGCTGCCTCTTCTGGTTCTGCTCCTCTCCTTGCCCCCTGTGCTGGGCACCAGCTCTGCTTTCCCTGCTCTGCCTCCTTTCCCTGCTCTGTTCCCCCCCCGGGGGGCACGGGGAGCTCACACCTGGCCCCCGGCAGAAGAGATTTTTTGACTTTTCCGGCTCTGAGGTGGTGCTGAAATCAAAGCGAGATGTTTGGTTAAACACTAAAATGGGATAAATCAGGTAAAGGAGGGGGCTGGGCTGGGGGGGGACAGCGTGGGGTGGCCGGTGTCACCTTGGGCTGGCACAGGACACCTGGGTGAGGGTGTGGCTCCTGTCCCCTGGTGCTGTGTCCCCGCGTGACCGCTGTCCCCCCTGCAGGTGGACAGTGACACCATCTGGAACGAGCTGCACTCGTCCAACGCCGCGCGCTGGGCCGCGGGCAGCGTCACCGAGCTGGCCTTCAAGGTGGCCACCAGGGAGCTGAAGGTAGGGGCTGGCCTGGGGGGTCCCAGGGCTGTGCCCCCTGTTCCTGGGGGTCCCAGGGCTGTGTCCTCCATTCCTGGGGGTCCCAGGGCTGTGCCCTTCATTCCTGGGGGTCCCAAAGCTGTCTCACCCATTCCTGGGGGTCCCAGGGCTGTGTCACCCCGGCACTGGGCACACGGGGTGTGTGTGGTGTGTGTGTGTGTGTGGTGTGTGTGTGTGTGTGTGTGTGTGTGTGTGCCCCTGGGCTGGCAGCTCTGACCCCCGGCCTCTGCTCTGTCCCCAGAACGGCTTCGCCGTGGTGCGGCCGCCCGGACACCACGCGGATCCTTCCACGGCCATGTAAGACCCCTCCCTCCCCCCGGCACCTGGGGAGCCCCAAAAGCAGCTCCGGGGCTCAAAGCCACCCCAAAAAAAGAGCCCGGAGGTGACTCCCACCCCTCTTCCCAGGGGATTCTGCTTCTTTAACTCGGTGGCCATCGCTGCCAGGCAGCTGCAGCAGAAGGGGAAGCTCAGCAAGATCCTCATCGTGGACTGGGTGAGTCCCCCCGTCCCCAGGATGTCCCCAGGATGTCCCCAGGACGTCCCCAGGACATCCCCAGGGGTGGTTCCTGCTCCAGCTCTTGTGGGAACGTGGCTGGAACCCCGCAGTGTGCTCAGGACTGGGGAGCAGGAGCAGATCCCGGGCTGGGGGACCTTTGGGCTCTGTGAGGTTCTGGGGCCGCCCAGCAGCTGCCAAAATCCTCTCTGGGTGTCCCTGCAGGACGTTCACCACGGCAACGGGACCCAGCAGATTTTCTACAGGGACCCCGAGGTTCTCTACATCTCCCTGCACCGCCACGACGACGGCAACTTCTTCCCGGGCAGCGGCGCTGCCGACGAGGTGGGAGGGGACCCCGGGGACCGAGGGGACAGCAGGGCACAGGAGGGCACAGCAGGACACAGCAGGGTACAGCGGGGCACAGCGGGGCACAGGAGGGCACAGCAGGGCACAGCAGGACACAGCGGGGCACAGGAGGGCACAGCGGGGCACAGCAGGGCACAGGAGGGCACAGCAGGGCACAATAGGGCACATCAGGGCACAGCAGGGCACGGGGGCTGAGCAGGGACAGTGCCCCGGGGGCTCCTTTCCCAGCCCTGACCCTGCCTGGGCCACCCAGCACAGGGATGGAGACGGATGGAAAGTCCTGACCCCCCTGTGGCACCAGGCAGGGGGACCAGGACCCCCAAACTGCTTCCCATGGCACAGAACAGGGGCTGGGACCCCCAAACTCACACAAGTCTGACCCCACTCCCCATCCCCTGTGTGGGGCTGACCCCACTCCCCATCCCCTTTTCCCTGTGTGGGGCTGACCCCACTCCCCCTCCCCTCTCCCCAGGACCGTGGTGATGCCCATTGCCCACGAGTTCTGCCCCGACGTGGTGCTGGTGTCGGCCGGCTTCGACGCAGCCGAGGGCCACCCGCCCCCCCTGGGGGGCTACAAAGTCTCTGCCAAGTGTAAGGAGGTGGCTCGGGGTGGGGTGTCCCCCTTGGGGTGGGGTGTCCCCCCTTGGGGACAGGGTGTCCCCCTCCCACCCGGGCTGGGACCCCCGGGAAGGGGTGGCCACTCCTGGGGGAGCCACAGGAGATTTTGGGGTTGGGTTTGGGCAGGGGGAGGTGACATTCCTGGGGGTCCCACAGGTTTGGGCAGGGGGAGGTGACATTGCTGGGGGTCCCAAGGGTTTGGGCAGGGGGAGGTGACATTGTTGGGTGTCCCCAGGGGGAGATGACATTGCTGGGTGTCCCACAGGTTTGGGCAGGGGGAGGTGACATTGCTGGGTGTCCCACAGGTTTGGGCAGGGGGAGGTGACATTGCTGGGTGTCCTGGGCTATTCTTGTCCTGGGTTATCCCTGTCCTGGGACACCCCTGCCCTTGGCTATCCCTGATCTGGGCCACCCCTGACCTGGGCCACCCCTAGCCTGGGACACCACTGTCCTTGTCTATCCCTGTCCTTGTCTATCCCTGTCCTGGGCTATCCCTGTCCTGGGCTATCCCTGTCCTTGGCTATCCCTGTCCTGGGCTGTCCCTGTCCTGGGCTGTCCCAGGCTGTCCCTGTCCCAGGCCAGCCCCTGTCCTGGTGTCCCCAGCCCCGTTGTCCCCTCCCACAGGCAGATACTGGGTGGCCGTGCAGCGCTTCGCCTCCAAGCTGGGCTGCTCCTTCCTCGAGGCTCAGCACCACGAGGCCGACGAGGTGGAGACGGTGACGGCCCTGGCGTCCCTCTCGGTGGCCGTGATGGTGGAGAAGAGGTGACATTGCTGGGATCCCCCTGTGCCGGGGGGGTGGCAGCAGGGCAGGGCTGTGTCCCCACCCTGGATGAGGCTCTGGGCTCCTGGGAACCCCAAACCAAATGGAAACCCAACCAAACCCTGCTGGGAACCCCGAGCTGGGCTCTTCCCAAAGGAAAACCCAACCAAACCCTCGTGCCTGGGGGTGGGGGTGTCAGCTCTGCCAGCAGGGTCCCCTCCTGTCCCTCCCTTGTGTCCCTGTGTCCCCGCAGGAGCGGGATGTGGCCTCTCACGTGTCGGGTTCCCTCGCAGGGCACAGGAGGAGCCCATGGAGCAGGAGGAGCCCATGAACCAGTGACACTTGGGGACGGTCCCCGGCGTGGCCGGAGCCCCCGAAGACCCCGATCCCGTTTGTCCCCCTCGCTCCCGAGGCCCTGGGCGGGCCTGGACTCCTGGAAGGGACATTCCCGAATCCAACGGGACGGGACCACGGAGAGCCCCGAGCCCAGACTGTGCCCACAGCCCCCCTCCAATTTTGGGACCCCTCAAGGGGGGTGAAACCCCCCAGCCCTGCGGCACTGACCCCCCGATCCCGGGACCTCCTCACCGGGCTGGGATGGACGTTGGGACCACCCTGGGGACGGCTCCCAGAGCCTGGGAGGAGCATCCCGGGGTTTGCTGGCTGGGATGGGATCTCTGCACCTTCTCCAGAGGTTCCCTGGCTCCCCTCGCCCTGCTGGGGCACGGGGATGGAGCGGCAGGGACGGGGACGGGAGCTCGGGAGCGTCCCCAGGAAGGTTTGGGGCATCCCAAAGAAGATTTGGAGCTCCTCAAGGAAAGTTTGGAGCCTCCTGGGGTTTGGGGCATCCCAAGGAATATTTGAAGCCTCCCAAGGACAGCTTGGAGCCCCCCAAGGAAGATCTGGAGCCCCCCAAGGAAGATTTGGAGCCCCCCCAGGAAGGTCTGGGGCACTCCCAGGAAGATTTGGAGCCCCCAAGGAAGGTTTGGAGCCCCCCCAGGAAGGTTTGGGGTACTCCAAGGAAGATTTGGAGCCCCCCAAGGAAGATTTGGAGCCTCCCAAGGAAGGTTTGGGGCACTCCAAGGAAGATTTGGAGCCCCCCAAGGAAGGTTTGGAGCCTCCCAAGGAAGGTTTGGGGCACTCCAAGGAAGGTTTGGAGCCCCCCAAGGAAGGTCTGGAGCCCCCCCAGGAAGGTTTGGGGCACTGCCAGCGAGGCTGGAGCGTGGGCAGTGCCCGGGGGTCCCTCTGCCCTCGCTGCCCCGTTTGCACTATGGACCCTGCCAGCCCTGCTGTGACCCCGACTCCTCTTCCCGGGGGGAATTTTGGGAACCTTCCCCTCCTGCCGAGGTGCCTCGAGCCCTTCCAGCCCCCCGAGGCCCTGGCTGGGTGTGGGTCCAACCCCTGAGCCCCTCCCCAATTCCCTCTGGGGACCCCCAGGGATGCCCAAACCCCCTCGGTCCCGTCCCCTGTCCCCGTCCCTATCCTGGGGTGACAGGGGCATATCCAGAGCCTCCAACCCGAGGGTTCCACCCCGATTTCCCTTTTCCCTTTTCCCCAAAAGCCTTCCCTGCAGCCCGAGGGGCTCCCAGCAGGGCCAGGCCCTGTCCTGGCTCTGGGGACAGAGGGGACACAGCTCCGGCCGCGGCGGCGGGAGGAGATTTTGTATAAAAACAAAACAAAACAAAAACAAAAATGAAGTTTTAAAAGGAAAAAAAAAAAAAAGGAATCAAACCCCTTGGTGTGGTTCAGGGTGGGGGTCTCTGGGTGGGGGTCTCGGGGGGGATGGAGGGACTTCCCAAGCTCCATCCTGCTGGAATTTACCAGGAGGAATCCACCACACGCAGATTTTTTTGGGGGTTTTTCCCCCAAAAAATGAGTCAGAAGGGTCACTAGGATGATGTTTTCCTCGTTTTAAGGGTTTTTGGCTCGTTTTAAAGTTTTTTTGGCTCGTTTAAAATGCAGGGATTTATTTTTAAACAAACAAGATGCACCAAAATACTTGAAAATATTTTTGAAAAATATATTTCACCTTTTGAAAAAAAAAAAATTGGTTGGAAACTGGAGTCTCACTCCACAGATAGGTTTTTGCCCTTTATTTTTCAAGCACAATTTATTATTTTTTGAAAGAAGGTTTTAACTTCTGAAGCCAATTTTGTTTCTCAGCTGTAAAATCCTTCCTGTGAGGCACCGAACGAAGCCACCACATGGAGTTTTTAATGGAATTTTCACTTTTTTAAGCACCTCCAGAGTTTTTTGAAGGCTGCAATTGACTCCCCGGAGCAGAGAATCCACTCCCACTGCACGTAAAAATTGGGAATTGGGTAGAAAAAGTCACTCTGGGCCTTCCTGTGGCTCCTGCGTGGAGGATCACAACAGAAATTCCTCTCCCATGGAATATTTGGGAGCTCAGGCCTGTGCAGCCTCCCTGGAAGGGATTTTTCCCCTCTTTTTTCTGCCATAACAGGCAAAAAAAACCTGTTGGTTTTTTTTTTTGCCTGATTGCAATAAAAGCAGCCCAGCCGAGGGAGGTGCAGGGGGGACCCGGCAGCCCCATTTCCGTAGGAAAAACAAGGATTGAACTCTGAAAAATTCCCCCTGGGCTTTATTGGGGTCGTTTTGGTCACCCCAACACTTCCATTGTTCCTTTCCCCGCCCTCTCTGCGCCCCCAAAAGAGCCCAAACCCCCTCAGAGTTCCCAAAACGGCCCCAAAATCCCCAAAATTCCCGGCGGCTTTTTTTTCAGCCTCAATTCCAGTAAATCCCAAGGAATTGGGAGGTTCCACCGAGGGGTTCATGAGGCTCCATCTGCAGGGCAGGAGTGGCTGGGGGTGCCTGGGGGGGGTCAGCAGCCCCCAAATCCCCCCGGATCCTCATCCACGGGAACGTCCCACGGAGCCTTCGGAGCGGGATGAAAGAGGGGGAACCCCCGAGGTCCAGGGAGGGCTCCTTGGGGGGCTCCAGCCCGTCCCTCTCCCCTCATCCTGGAGGAATTTTCCTGCTCGGGGAAGGGCTCGGCTTCCCGGCAGTCCCGGAGGAGGGAATTGGGATCAATCCGTTCCTTACCTGCGAGCCCAAAATAAATCACAGCCCCGAGTTCCTGCAGCAGCGCCCGAACCAGCCCAAAGCAGCTCCTGCTGCGGCTCCCTCGCGCTCGTTCCTAAAGTTTTTGGGGTCCCCGGGGCTGTCGGGGGTCTGGGGGTCGTTCCCTCCTCTCTCCAGGGAGGCTCCCGTGGGGTTTTGGGTGCTGGAGCTGCTTCCGTCGAGGTGGAGACCTGGGGGGAGACAGTGGGGTCAGGATGGGCTGGGCTTCCCAAAATCCTACAAATCCATCCTGTGGAGACAGTGGGGTCAGGATGGGCTGGGCTTCCCAAAATCCTACAAATCCATGGCCTGGAGCTAACGGGGTCAGGATGGGATCGGCTTCCCAAAATCCTACAAATCCGTGCCCTGGAGCTAACGGGGTCAGGTTGGGCTGGGCTTCCCAAAATCCTACAAATCCATGCCCTGGAGGGAGACAGGGGGGTCAAGCTGGGATCAGCTTCCCAAAATCCTACAAATCCATGCCCTGGAGCCAGCGGGGGCAGAGCCGCCCGGCATTCCCGGATTTCCCAGATCCGCGAGGGATTTGCCGGGAAACGTCCCCACACCTGAGCTGGGCACTAAAACCACCCCAATCCCGGCTTTTCCCGCAGGTGGGATCTCGGGCAGCCCCTCGGGAGCCCTCCCGGAGCCGAGGCCGGGCAGGGCTGGTGGAGCCAGGGGGAGGATGGAGCAGGAATCGGCTCCGGGGTGGATCCCTGTGGGATCCCAGCCCCGGCTCCCCGAGGTTTATTCCAGCTTTATTCCAGCTTTATTCCAGGTTTATTCTGTCCCCTCCCGCTTTGTCTCCGGCTGTTTCCTGCTCAGCCAGAGCTTCCCCTCTCTGGAGAGGAGCCTGGGGAGGGATAAATGAAATCCTCCAGGAATTCACCCCCAGGAGTCGTGCCAGGGGTGGGGGACAGAGGGGAAAACCCCCCAAAGGCTGATGTGTGAGCCCTTGGGATGGGTGACGGCACATCCAGAGGCACGAGGGCAACGGGCAGCCAAAATTCCAGAGTCACGGCCAGGCGGGAGCATCTCAACCCAGCCACGGAAAAACGGATCAGCTCCCTGAGCCCAGCGAGGTCTGATCCCAAAAAAACACCTTCCCACCGGGATTTCGGGATCCTCCAGAGGGTTGGACAAGGTTTAACACCAAAAAACCCTCACGGGGGATTCCAGGGATGCGGGAGGAGCCCGGCCCTGCAGGATTTGGGATGAAGAAGCTCACGGATCTCCCTCCTCACCCTCCCTCGGCATCCCTGCCTTTGTCACCCCGGAGCAGCGGGAGCTGAGGCCGGGCACGGGCGGTGCCGAGCTCCGAGCTCCCCCTCCGCTGCCGGGAGCCTTCCCTGACAGCCGGGATGAAAAACGGGCTCGTTCCAGAGGCATTCCCGGGGCCGAGGCAGCTCCGGCTCCTTGCAGGGGCCATAAACCCAGAGATATTTCCTCATTCCCCAGGGCTGGATCCGTGATTTCATGTCTGGATTAATTTTAACTAATCCTCAGCAGTGTGGGGACTCTGCCATGGAGAGCAGCTCAGTTCCCCTGGGTGTTTTTTGGTGGTTTTTTTTTTTTTTCTTTTTTTAATGAAAATGGGGATTTTTTTTTTTTTTTTTTTGAAAAACCAGCCCCGAGCTCCCCCTCCGCTGCCGGGAGCCTTCCCTGACAGCCGGGATGAAAAACGGGCTCGTTCCAGAGGCATTCCCGGGGCCGAGGCAGCTCCGGCTCCTTGCAGGGGCCATAAACCCAGAGATATTTCCTCATTCCCCAGGGCTGGATCCGTGATTTCATGTCTGGATTAATTTTAACTAATCCTCAGCAGTGTGGGGACTCTGCCATGGAGAGCAGCTCTTCCCTGGGTGTTTGTTTTTTTGTTTTTTTTTTTTTTTTCTATTTTTAATGAAAATGTGGATTTTTTTTTTTTTTTTCTGGAAAAACGTATCCTGCAGGTCTGGTCGTGGCTGTGACAATCTGGGGGATTTTGGGGAATGTCCCACATCCCTCACCCGGGCGGCTCCTCCTGCCCCTCCAACACCTCCCCTTGCACCCCGAGTGAAAACAGCGGCTCTGGGAAGAGCAGATTTTGGGGAATCCTGTGACCTCCAAACCTGCTCTGCTCCAGGAGGAAATCCCAGGAGCACCAAATCACCCAGGAACAGATTTCCCGGGATTTCGGCAGCTCCTCTCACCTCTCCTGAGAGCCCAGCCCCGAACTGGGGGTCCTGGACCACCCTGAGCACTTTAACGAGGGGCTGGATCCACTTTTAAGGGACTGATTTGGGGAAGGGGAAGGGATCCCTGCTCTCCTGCCGGGTCGCAGAGGGACCCGGGGGATTCTAAAGCAGCTCGAGATGGATTTCCTGAGCAGGGAAATAATAATAGGGAATAGGAACAGGGATGGGAGCTGTTCCCGAGCTCCCCCAGCGCCCCGGAGCAGCGAGAGGTGTTTATAAATAAAAGCAAATGAAGCAGCCGCCAGACAAAGCCGATTCCAGGCGAGAGCAACAGTCCCCAAAGGGAAGATTTATCCAAGGTCTTTCAGGAGAGACAATTAAGTGAGGGCAACGCGAGAGAGGCGATAAATCCACGGAGACAAATGAAGGGCAAGGAACATCAGCTCCCGGCCTCTCCCCCCGGCAATTCCAGCTTCCAGCCTCATTTTCTTCTCAGGCGGGGAAAGAAACCATTTTAATGTGCTCAAGACTCTGCCGAGAAAAGCCGAGCTGGGGGAACTTCAAACGTGATTTCTGTTGCCTGAGGGCTCCATCCCTCTTTTTCCCCGGCTGATGTCTCCCGGTTAACAAGGGCACATCCAGCTTTTCCAGCCCGCTTTGATATTTAATAGCTGAGTTCCACCATCCAGGGGCTGCTTTCCATTAGGAAATCCCAACCCCACCGCGTTCGTTCCCCCCCTCCAGGAGGGAGACAGAGCCTCCCCAGCCCGGCACCGCTTCCCCAGCGGCTCTTCCCAGGTTTTGGGTTTTTTTGGGAGAATCCCTCCTTCCTCTCCCTCCCTGCCCGGTTGGGATTGTTCACCGGGACCCCAAAACGCCGCAGGCTGGTCCGGGGAGGGCGAGTCCCTCCCCAGCTGGAGGATGCAGGCTCTCGGGGTGGATTTGAACGGGAATGATGATCTGGCCGCGCTCACGGGAGCTCTCCAAAGTGACTGAAGGGTCTTTAATCCCTCTGTTTACCCCTCAGTTCTGCCAAGAACTCGGTTTAAATAAACAGCTCTGGGAGCCGCGTCGCGTTCTGCACACGGAGGGAGCAGAAATGGGTCTGGGGGTGCTGGGGAGGGGGCTCAGCCTCCCCCACCTCCCCAGGGCAAAGGGATTTTAGTCTGGCTTTGCAAAATTCGGGATGAAGCCGAGCAGCTTCCCTGTCTTTGGGGAGAGCCCCCACAACACCCCCAAAACTGGAGAATCCAACCCCAAAGTGCCAAACCCAAAAAGGGGTGCCCAGAAGAGGGTGAGGGGTCCGGGGGGGAATGAGGGGCTCAGCACCCCGACAGGTCCTGGCAGATTTTGGGCATCCCTAAGTGAGGACAAGGAGCCACCCACTCCTCCTCTGGCTGGCCCCGAGGGGAGGTGACCTGGCAAGGAGAGGATTTAATGTCTGAAACAACAGGGTCTGTCCCTAAAAACTGGTATTTACACATGAATTTAGCGAAGTGTCAGATTTCCTGCTGGCTGGGAGGGATCTGGCTGGGAAAGGGAGTTTCAACGTGGCCCATCCTGAAGGGAAATCCCCTGGGAGACGCTCGGCACCCTGAGCCAGCGCTGGCACCTCCGCGACCTCGAATTTGGGGATGTTCAGTGCCCGAGGAGAGGCAGGAGGAGCCCTGGTCCTGTCTGGGGACAGTGGAGCCTCTCGGGAGCTGGGGTCCCATGAGGGATCCCCCTCATGAGCTCCTGGCTTGGGAATGTCCTCTGGAACTTTCTGCTCCTCTCTGCGGGAAGTGCCGGTGCCTCATCGCCCGCTCCTCCCGTTCCCAATTCCTCCCAGCCCTAAAACTCTGAATTTTGGATTATTCCCCTCTCAGCATCCCGAGGGACGCTGAGGATGGAGCTGAGTCTGTCAGATTTCCCCACGCAGCGCAGGATTCCCGTGGATCCAGCGGGATCACGGATCCCATCCTGTCTGCAGAGCTCTGGGAGAGGAACAGGGGGAAGCCAGGCAGGCTGGAGGACACGAGGCCACCCCAGGGCAGGGCGGGGTTGACACCTCAGCAGCCCCAACAAGGCCAGGACAGGATTTGGGAATAAATCAGATTTTTAAAACCCCCTTTTGAACCTTTCCCACCCCTGCTGAGTGAGATCAGAGCAGCTCAGGAACCGCCACCTCCTCCCGCTCCGGGGACAAACCCCTCATCCTTGGAGCGCCAGGAGGGGCGGCCACCATTCCCAGCGGGATCGAGCTGGGAAGCGCCTGGAGACCGCGGGGACACGGCGGCGACGCGGCCACACGTACCCGGCTCAGTGGGACGCCGACATGGACCAGGCGCCCTCCATCCTCCACACGGAGAAGGCGTAGCTGAGCCTCTCGTGGGCCAGGAAGTTGCAGCTGGTGGCGACCTTGTGGTCCAGCTCGTCGCTCTGCAGCACCTGGCACAGGAAGTCGATGTAGCGAGCGGCCAACTTGAGCGTCTGGATCTTGCTGAGCTTGTCCGAGGGCAGCGTGGGGATGATCTTGCGCAGCTCGGCGAAGGCGTCGTTGAGGGACTGGGTGCGCTGGCGCTCCCGCACGTTGGCGATGACGCGCTGGGCGTGGGCGTCCTCGGGGGGCTGCGGGGCCGGACTGCGCCGGCTGCGCTTGCCCTGCGGCGAGGGGGCTCCGCCGGGGCCCTGCCCGCGCTTGCGGCCGCTTTTCCTGGGCAGCCGCTCGGCCTCGTCCTCGCTGGTGGCCGCGCTGCCCTCGGGGGACTCCGGGGAAAGGTTTTCCTCCTTCATCTCCTCGGCTCCCTGGGCTCCCGAGGCGCGGCCCGGAGCATTCGCCCTCGGGGCTCCCCGGGCGCCCCAAGCCCCGCAGAGCCCTCCAAGGAGCTCCTTGGCTTCTCCTTTGGGCCAGGAGAGGAGGGCGCTGGGATGACTTCGGGAACGGCTCCTGCTGATAGGGCGAGCGGGGCGGGGGCGGACCAGGCGCAGACCAATGCAGGGGAACGCCAGCGGCTCTGGAGCTTATGGGTTCCAGATTTCCTCTCTCCCTCCCCACCGCCACCCCGAGCCCTCCGGCACAGATGCTCCGGCTGCCGCCCGGATGTCAGGGACGTTCTCGGTGCCAAGGGAGCCCCAGCCATGGAGCTCAGCGGCGGCTTTGGGGGGTTTTGAAAATGGTTTTTCAACCCAGTTGATCCCACAAAGAAATATCGCCTTGTTTGGGGTGGAGGAGGAGACTTTCACCTGTGAGGGAGCCAGGCGGGGATGTGGAGCCACAGGGGTTGCGATGAGCGGGTCAGGAACTCCCAAAATCCAAAGGAAGAAGCAACCAAAGGGAGATCGGCATACGTAGAGCTCTTGAGGAAAGGCTTTGGTCAAAATGAGCTTGTGTCCATTTGTCCATCCATCCATCCATCTATCCATCCATCCATCCCTCCCCTGCCTCCATTCCTGGCATCCCTCATCACCCCCATCCATCACCAAATTCCTGTAGAGTAAATCCAGTGGCTCCTGGGTGGAAGAGGAATAGGAATAGGAAATGGAAGAGGAAGGGAAACACGAAGGGGAAGGGGAAGGGCAGGACCTCTCTGGGAATCCCCCAGGAGAGGACTGGGGCCGGATCTGGAGCCCTCTGCTCCAGCAGCGCTGCAGAGGGCTGGGGAGCTGCCACCAGCTCCAGCTGAGGCTCAGCCTGTGCCTGGCCTTTATTCCTTAATGAATTCTTTTTTTTTTTTTTTATTGTTTTCCTTTTAAAAGAAAATAAAATTGAATTGAATTTCACCAGGAGAAGGGTTCTGGCCGGGGGAGGGGAGGTTTGGGATCGGGGCTGGGATCCCGGAGCCAAGGGAGAAACACAATGAGCTTTGAAGTGCAGGAAGGAGCAGCCCCACACCCCAAGGGGCTTTTGTCCCCACATTTGGAGGGTTTGTGGCTTTTCCCTCAAACATTTCAATTTGTTCTTTCAGTGAGTGTTTTTTTGGGAGGATATTCATCCAAACTTCTCATGGAAAGGTCACGAGGCACCAAAGTGGTTTCAATAACTCCTCCAGCTCGCTGGGGGTTTTTCTGGTGCTGCTTTTGACACATCAGGGAAAATTTCAAGCCTTAAAGAAAAAAAAAAAAACAAAAAAACAAAAAACAACTGAGCCAAGCCCAGCTCACTTGACTCAGGGAGAAGTCACTGGATGGAAGGTTTGAATTCCCAATTCCCACCAATTCCTGGCCCCTCTGGACACGTCCCCTCCTGGTTTCCCCCCACCCCCTCACATCCATCACCCCCCAGGAGGATTTTGGGGTTTTTTTGGGGGAATCTCCTCCCAGGGGACAAGGGGCAGGACAGCAGGAAACAGCCTCGAGTGGTGCCACCAAGGGTTTAGGTTGGACATTGGGAAAATTCCTCCTGGGCAGGACCCTCCAGCCCAGGGCAGGGGTGGCGTCCCCATTCCTGGGGGGATTTCAAAGTGGAGGTGGCACTTGGGGACATGGTCAGGGTGGCTTTGGCAGTGCTGGGGAAGCATTTGGTGCTCTCAGAGGGTTTTGTTTTGCTTTGTTTTGAGATTTTCCTTCCGAGCTCCTTTTCTTTGTTCCGGAGGACAAAAATAATCCCCGTTTCATCCCGTGTGAAGAAAAAAAAAAAAAAACAAACCAAAAAAAAAAAAGAGGATGAGGCTGATAAATGGGGAAGATGAAAGGGAGCCGGGAATAGCCGCTGCCCCTGGAGGCCGGGAAGCGCCTTGAGATCCGCAGGTTTTTCCAGTTACGGCGGCCTCGAGTGGAAACAGCTGCGGGGCGGCCAAAAAACGCGGAGCGTCCGCGCCGCGTGTGGTTGCCGCGGCAACCACGGGGAATTTGGGGCGCTGGGATGGCGCTGGGAAGGGGAACCCGCGGCGCTTTGATCCCGGGCTGATGGATGGCCCCGCGATCCTCTTCCCCGCCGCGGTGACCTCACGCTCCCGGAACGCGCCGGGATCTGTCAGAACTCGGAGGTGGAGGCAGAACGGGGGTCAGGGGGTCCCGGGGGGTGCAGGGGGTTCCTGGGAACGATCCCAGAGTTTTGCTGCGGGATGGGGTCGGGATGAGCCGCGGGGTGAGGTGAGGGAGGGACCCCGCGGGTGCCTTCCCCCATCCCCGGGCTGGGCCCATCCTGTTCCACTTAATTCCGACACGTGAAAGTTCCTTCCCCCCTTTTCTCCCCCATCTGGCCATCAAAGCTGGGATCGGGGTCTCGCTGCCAGGAACTGTCCTGAGCTCTCCCAGCATGGAGCTGGGAATGTTGGGAATGTTGGAAATGTTTGGATCAGCCCCGGCTCGGCCCCTCCGAGCCTTTCCCGGCCCCCAGAGCTGCCCTTCGGTCAGCACCGATCCCGGATCCTGCCTGGATCTGCCGCGGATCCCGCAGGATCCTGCTGGGAAGAAAAGGTCCCCACGAGCTTTTCCCGTTTCCTCCAGGTCTCTCCTCCTGCTTTGTCACTCTGGAGCCACCCAGGGAGGGGTCCCCAGGGGCTGAGGAGGGGACAGGAGGGGACAAACAAGGATTCCAGGAAATGGGAGCGAGGGGACTCTGCAGGCCAGGAAAGGAACGGGGAGGAGGGAGCGGGAGCTCCTGTTCTGCACCTCGGGAGCGAATCAAAATCCCTGGGATCCTCCAGCATCCAACTCCTGGGCACCTCTGACTCCAATTCCAGGCATCCGGAGCTGTCTCCTCATCCTTCCTTCACTCACCTTTTCCCCCTGAGAGCATCCATGCCCCCACTCTCTCCTGCACAGGATTCCCAATCCCAATAAAAATCCCAACAAAGCCAGAAAATTAGATTTTTTTTCCACCCCCGGTGCACTGAACCTGGTTGTTTAGTTTAAAAGGAATTTGATTTGGGAAAATCAGTGGGGTTTGTGTGCAGGGAGCTGGGGCAGATCCAGAAAAAAATCCCAAAAAATCCATCCCGACCTCGGCCTGCCCCACGCTGAGCCACGGGATCCTCTGGTGGACATCAGCTCAGGAATTTGTGGGAATCATCACCCACTCAAGAATTTGTGGGAAAGAGGAGTCCAGGAGTGCCCTTAGCAACCAGACAAACATTTGTGGGGGGTTCTGTTCCATCTGGGAGGGAAAAACCCTCTGGAAAAATCTGGGAAAGGCCGTGTTGGGAGGGCAGGGGGGGAATTTGCCCCAGGGGTCCCTTCCCAGAAGATCTTCCCCATGGAGCAGACCCCGGATGCTGCTCCCACACAACCTCATCCCCCATGCTCCTGCTCATGGCAAATCAGCCGGGAATTTGGGGTTGGCAACTGGGAGAGAGCAGAAATGGAAACAAAATTTGGAGTTTTTTTTATCCCGGGGCAACCAGAGCTGGGTTCCATCGAGGGGAAGAGGGAGACACTGGAGGACCTGCAGTAAATCCTAGTTTTCCTTGGGATGTTATCCATGAGCAGCAGAGCCTGTGAGCGGGGTGGGGCTGTGGAGAGGAGGGATGGAGGGATGGATGGAGGGATGGAGGGATGGATGGATGGATGGATGGATGGATGGATGATGCTGGATGGAAGGATGGATGGATGGATGGATGGATGATGGATGGATGGATCCATGGATGGATCCATGGATGGAACCACATCCCAGGGGAACACTGAATTATTGTTCTGGGACTCTGGCTCCTGCCTCTCTGCTGGGCCAAACTGGAGCCCAAAGGGGGCTCAGAAAAGCCCCTGGAGCTGCAAACCACGCCCAGAGCCACCACCCACGGATGTCCCCAAGGCCAGGGTGTCCCCAGCCCCTCAGACCATCCAGGGTGGTGGTTCCTGGCAGCAGCAGGGGAAGGACCCCGCTCTCCCAGAGCTCTCCCGATCCCAGAGCCGCCGCCACCCCCTCGCAGCCCCGCAGCACATCTGGGACACCCCCGGAGCCTTCAAAGCCGTGTCTGGGGAGAGACGAAAGGCCCGGCTCAACTCCTGGCCGCAGATGAAAGGAAAACTCTCCCTCGGCGGCTGGAACGAGTTCCCGGTGCTCCGGAGCGGGGCTGCAGGGGCCCATTTCCTGCCCGCCTGTACGGAGGGACTCCGCAGCAGATTCTCGGGACTGCCCGGGCTCCCCGGGGGGCTCCCGGGACGCTCCGTGGGCTGGGGGGGATGAGGGGCAGTGGGACGGTGAGGGAAAAGCTCCTCCAGGACGAGCCCGGGGCGGGGGAGCGGCTGCCGGGCGGATGCGAGCGACAGATTTTCCTCATTTCGTCCCAGGAAATTCTATTCCGATTAAAAGGCGTTTGATCTGCACGGAGCGGGCGGGGGGAGGCCGGGGTGGGGTTGGGTTTCTCTCCAATTGTTGGGCTTTATGGGGTTTACGAAGCAGCTCAAAGCTCCCAGGATTTCGGGGCTGCAGAATGTGGAGTTGAATTTTGGGGTTTGTGAAAAGGTGGAGGAGGAAGGGATGGAGCCCCCGGGGCTCCTCCTCTCCCGGTTTTCCAAAGGGTTGATCCCTCTCCATCAGGGAAGGGGAATCTTCCAGCTCCTCACCCCCTCCATCACCAGGAATAAAAGGAATAAAAAGGTTTTTTCCAGGATGGAGAAGGGAAATGTCCCAGTGTCGTGGGGGTTGGGCGTTCTCAGGGGGACCACGGGTTCTTGTGGAATTTTGGGTTTCCCGAGGGCTGGCAGGGATGGATTTTGGGGTTTATCAGGGGGGTAAAAGCCATTTAAAAGTGAGGCAGAGGCACCCCAAGGGACAGGCAGGAGGAGCAGGGCTGCTGCTTCCCCCTGGTCGTTATTCCAGCCCATTCCCCACATCCTTCTCTCCCACTCCCAGCTGAGGAGGAAGGGAAGCAGTGACCCTTCCATGGGAAGTGGTTCCAGCCCAGCTCCAGGCTGGGAAGGAGCAGAGGGACCCCCGGATGGGTCGGGACCCCCCGATGACCTCTTTGCCTTGGCCCCTTCGGGCTCTCCACAAACCCCAAACCCCATCCCAAAGGCCCTTCCCAGCTATCCCAGCCTGGGGATTTTCAGGCTCCTCGTTAAGCACTGGGCCCATATTGAACCGTTTTATTCCCTTGGTTGCTCTCCAAGCTGAGAATTGTCCTAAAAATAACCATTCCCAGTTCTGTGTGTGATGCTCTCCCCCCTCTCCCTGGCTCTGTCCCAGCTCCCCCAGCTCCGGTGAGTTCATCCCGACACCAAAACCTAAAGATCCTTTAGGGATCTTTAATCCCAGAGCTGCCTCTCATCCGAGGCCCGGCTGGAGCACGAGGATTCCCCGGGAATGGCAGCAGGACCGGGCTCGTGTCCGTGTGTCCGGCACCCTCCCAGCTGGACACGGCCCCTGGGAGCCAGGACACTCCTTTGGGATTCCTGGCTCCAGCCCCGAGCTCTTCCTCAGGGACTCTTCCAGATCCTCAGGATGCTGTGAGTGAGGTGGAATTTGGGGGATTTGCTGATTTTTTCCAGCTGGGGAACAAAGGGCAAATCCAGCGCCGTGTCCAGGGAGCAGGGACACCACGTGTGGTGACATTCCCACGTCCTGGAAGGTTTGGGACACGCTCCTGTCCGTGCCTGTGCACTTCACCCTCCTAGCCCCCACTCCCAGGGAATGGCACAGACTTCCAGGGAAAGGATTACACTGGGAACAGTGACCTGCAGGTCCCTCTAGGTCTGTCCCCAAGCCCAGACCCTCCTGCAGGTCCCTTTACGTCTGTCCCCAAGCCCAGACCCTCCTGCAGGTCCCTCTCAGTCTGTCCCCAAGCCCAGACCCTCCTGCAGGTCCCTCTAGGTCTGTCCCCAAGCCCAGCCTGTCCCCAAGGCCAGCACCACCCTCTGGAAGCCCCAGGACCCCTCTGGAGCCCCAGAGCCACACTGGGGACACCCAGCCGGGATTTGTGTCCCTGCACACGAGGACAGTGTCCCCAGCACCTCCCTCCCCCCAAAGCCACCTGGAGGGTCCCCAGCCCCACGAGGCTCATCCGGAGCCTTTGAGGCGCCACTTCCGCCCTCACCACATCTTGAGAGCAGATTGGGAAAATGCAAAAAACCTGTGGTTCCCTTCGGGTGCCTTTGAATCCCTCCACGGGCAGGAAAAGTGGGATTGGGGTCACTGCCGGACCCTGGGGAGGGGCTGAGACCCCCCCCTCAGTGGGTCTCAGTGAGGTGTTGGTGACAGTGGGAGCCACAGGGGCCCTCCATGACCCTAAATACCCCCCAAAATCCAGCAGAGGCTCCCCAGTTCCTGAGGATTCCTCAGGCTGCCCAGCCCCAGGGAGTGAGGAATGCTGCAAAGGGAAAAATGGGCAATTCCATGAAAAATGGGGTTGGGAAAGGCTGGTGCAGCCAGAGAATGGGACGGGGTGGCTGGGACTTTGTGGGGGCTGTGGGGAGAGAAGGGGTCAGGGCGAGGGGATGGATTTGAGTCTTCCTGGAGCCACCAGGACCCCTGCCCCCTCCTGTCCCAGTGCCAGGGGATGGGAATTCCAGCTGGGATCCTTCCCTCAGCCCAGGGCTGGGTCCTTGTGGGGACTTGGGTCACCCCTGCAGGGCCCCGCTGAGCTCCTCGGTGGCCCCCGGGCACAGGGGTGTCCCTGTTTTGGGGATGTCCCCGATTTTGGGGTGTCCCAGGTGGTTTTGGGGTCTCGTTTGCCCTCCCCCCCAGCCCGGGCTGTGCCACTGCCGCCCTCTGGCGGCTCCTGCGGGCACTGCACCCGGGGGGTCCCTGAGTGTCCCCAATGTGTCCCCAACGTGTCCCCTCCCCTGGACCCCAACCCACAGTGGGGAATGGGAACTCAGGGCTGACCCCAAAGCCCCCCTGCCCCTCACTCATTTCCAAGGAAAAGGGGTGGAATCACCACCATTTCCCCAGAAATCCCTCTGGGCTGAAATCCCCGAATCCCAAGGGATTTGAGAGGGGAAAATCCACCTCAGAGTCCCTGTGGATGAGGAAGTGAGGGGTTAAACCCTCCCCATCACCCCAAAAGGTGCCATTCCCACCCGTCCTTCCCAGGATCCCAGGGAACTCCAGTGCAGCCAGGCTGGTGAGGGAGGGCTGTATTTGTGGTGGCACAGGGTGACAGCAAGGGTGGCACCGACCCCGGCACCCCCGAGGTGCAAACCAGGAGGAATCCATGTAAAAATAGAGGGAATATTTACACACAGCATCCTTTAAAAAGCTGGGATGGGGGGTGGGAACTCCAAGGCTAGAACATGGCCCAGGGGCTGGGTTTAGGGACTCCAGCACGTCACAGCCTCACCCCAAAGGTGCTCCTCAATCCATGGGGTCACCTGAGCAGCCCCTGTCCCCTCCCCTCTCCTCCTGCTTCCACAAAAACATTTTTTCCCTATTTTTTTTCCCCAGGAATCCTCTCCCTGAGGCTCAGGCAGGTCAAACCTTGGCCCTGCACTCCTTTCCCCCAAACACCTTTTCCCCGCACACCTGCTGCTGCAACTTCAAGCGTTAAATACAGCACTTATGGTTAAACACGGGATCCCATTCCTTCTGAAAACCAGCGTGGGGAGCAGCCAGGAGCAGCATTCCCAGCCTGGCAGCTTTGGGATGAGCTTTGGGAGGAGCTGTGCTCTCCCAGGAGCAGCATTCCCAGCCCTGGGAGCTTTGGGATGAGCTTGGGAGGAGCTTCTGCTGCCCCCAAAGCCCTGGAGAGGCAGGACCCGGCTGGGAGCTCAGCTGGGCCCTTCCCACGGAGCAGAGAGGTGACACAGGAGCAGGGCAGTGACACAGGTGGGGACTGCCACCCCTCTGGCAGCGCGGAATCCTCCGGGAGCCCTTCCCCTCCCTCCCTCCCTCCCTCCTCCCAGAACCAGCAGCGACGAGTGAGGAAAAGCCAGCAGGAAAAGCCCCTCTGTGCGGACAGACGGACAGGCAGACAGACAGCCAGCCCCGGGAGGGGCTCCTGCCCCGTGTCCACGCCTCTCACACCTTTCTGGGAGGCTCAGAAGTCGCTGAGGATGCTGATGTCGGCGAACTCGGCGCGGTACCGGTGCGAGTAGAGGCTCAGCAGCAGCGCCCACTTGAGCGCCATGAAGCTCCACACACAGGACAGGTAATAGCTCTTGGGGTCAGTCAGGGCTGAGGGGGGAAAAAAACAGGGATTTGGTGGGAATTCCAGCCCCTGGGAGCTCTGCGTTCCATGAAATCCACGGGAATGGGATGATTTCCCCGGCTCTGCCAGCCCCACCCCGAGCTAGCTTGGCTCAGGGATGGGATTTGTGGGAATTCAGGAATTTGTGGGGATTCCTGGATTTGTGGGAATTACTGGATTTGTGGAGATTCCTGGGCTGTGGGGATTCCTGGATTTGTGGGAATTCCTGGATCATAGGGATTCCTGGACCATGGGGGTCCCTCGATTTAGGAGATTCCTGGATCGTGGGGATCCCTGGATTGTGGGGACCCCTGGATTTCCCTAAAACTTGTGGGGATAAGACTTTCCCTAAAATCCCCAATTTCCTCCCCAAACAGTTTTCCAAGAAAGTAGGGGATGGCAAATATTTGGTTTTCCTTTCATAGCTGTATTTTTAAGGATTTCACACGTGGATTTTCATCCTTTTGCAGCAGGAAAACTCCACGGGGAGTTTCTTCAGGCTGAGCCAAGGGATGTTTTTTGGGTTGTGACCCCACACAGCTTCTCCACCCCCCCGCCAGGACAACCCCGTGGGGCTTCTGAGCAAAAAACAAACACAGAAAACCTCCAAGAAAACAACCCCCAAACGTTCTCCCTTTGGTCTGGGGCCAAGGAAATCGCGGCAGGGATTTGGAACCGTTCCTTAGGGAATGTTCAGGGGTTGGGAGCTGGGAATGCTGAGTTAGCACCGAGGCTCTGGGCTTGGAGCTGCTCCAGGAGGGATGGTCGAGACCTTTGCCATGGAAATGAGGAAATTCCCAGATTTTTGGGGGGCTTTGTCATGGAAATGAGGAAAATCACAGGTTTTTTTGGGGGGGCTTTGTAATGGAAATGAAGAAATTCACAGTTTTTTTGGGGGGGCTTTGTAATGGAAATGAGGCAATTCCAGGTTTTTTGGATGTCACAGCAGGGCAGGGAAATGCGGTGACATCCCTGCAGGCTGTCCCCAAAAGAGGAGGTGGCAGGAGCACCCCCAGCCCTGCTCTGTCCCCAGCCCCCCCAGTATTCCCAGTGCCTCCCAGTACTCACACTGGTGCTGGGTGATGGCCAGGGCCAGGAAGGCACAGAAGCCCAGCCCGGAGAGGGCAGAGAAGAGGATCCCGACGGAGAGGAAGAACCTCAGCCCTTTTAACCAGGTCCTCCAGTAATCCTGCAGGTACATCACATGCGTGATTAGGGCCCAGAGCGCCAGCACACCTGTCCAGGTGACAGCAGGGACATGAGAACAGCACCCGTGGACAGGTAAAACACAGCCCAAACCCCCCAGAACAGCTGGGAACAGCAGCACACCTGTCCAGGTGACAGCAGGGACATCACAACAGCCCCACAGCCCCCTTGCCCAAGCCCTCCCTGCAGCTGCCAGGACCTGCCCACATTCCCTGCTCAGGACAGGCTGGGTTCCCACCCCGGGACCCCCATGGGACCCCCCAATGGTCCCATAGCCAATCCCCCCGTGCTGGGGGTCCCCAGCCTGGCGGGAGGGATTGGGAGGGGGGCAGATCCCCTGGCCACAGCTGCAGAGTCATCACAGCCCAAACTGTGCCAGGGTCTGGTGACAGGGCTGAGCCCTCCACTTCCCCAAAATCCACCTCCCCCACTTCCTGCTGCCCCGGGTTCCAGCAGTTTTGAGCAGCATTTCCGATAGAAATGGGGAACTTGGGGTTTGGAGTCAGCAAAAAGCTGCTCCCTGCTGAGCCTGCCAGGATGACTCAGCAGAACTGCCCTGAATGCTGAGTCAAGGTTTGCTGCTCCCGTTCAGGGGTTGGGAGCTGGGAATGCTGAGTTAGCACCGAGGCTCTGGGCTTGGAGCTGCTCCAGGAGGGATGGTCGAGACCTTTGCCATGGAAATGAGGAAATTCCCAGATTTTTGGGGGGCTTTGTCATGGAAAATGAAGAAATTCACAGTTTTTTTGGGGGGGCTTTGTAATGGAAATGAGGCAATTCCAGGTTTTTTGGATGTCACAGCAGGGCAGGGAAATGCGGTGACATCCCTGCAGGCTGTCCCCAAAAGAGGAGGTGGCAGGAGCACCCCCAGCCCTGCTCTGTCCCCAGCCCCCCCAGTATTCCCAGTGCCTCCCAGTACTCACACTGGTGCTGGGTGATGGCCAGGGCCAGGAAGGCACAGAAGCCCAGCCCGGAGAGGGCAGAGAAGAGGATCCCGACGGAGAGGAAGAACCTCAGCCCTTTTAACCAGGTCCTCCAGTAATCCTGCAGGTACATCACATGCGTGATTAGGGCCCAGAGCGCCAGCACACCTGTCCAGGTGACAGCAGGGACATGAGAACAGCACCCGTGGACAGGTAAAACACAGCCCAAACCCCCCAGAACAGCTGGGAACAGCTGGGAACAGCAGGACCCCTGTCCAGGTGACAGCAGGGACATGAGAACAGCACCCGTGGACAGGTAAAACACAGCCCAAACCCCCCAGAACAGCTGGGAACAGCTGGGAACAGCAGGACACCTGTCCAGGTGACAGCAGGGACATGACAACAGCCCCACAGCCCCCTTGCCCAAGCCCTCCCTGCAGCTGCCAGGACCTGCCCACATTCCCTGCTCAGGACAGGCTGGGTTCCCACCCCGGGACCCCCATGGGACCCCCCAATGGTCCCATAGCCAATCCCCCCGTGCTGGGGGTCCCCAGCCTGGCGGGAGGGATTGGGAGGGGGGCAGATCCCCTGGCCACAGCTGCAGAGTCATCACAGCCCAAACTGTGCCAGGGTCTGGTGACAGGGCTGAGCCCTCCACTTCCCCAAAATCCACCTCCCCCACTTCCTGCTGCCCCGGGTTCCAGCAGTTTTGAGCAGCATTTCCGATAGAAATGGGGAACTTGGGGTTTGGAGTCAGCAAAAAGCTGCTCCCTGCTGAGCCTGCCAGGATGACTCAGCAGAACTGCCCTGAATGCTGAGTCAAGGTTTGCTGCTCCCACCCCAACATCGCTGCTGCTGCTGCTGCTGCCCTGAGCTCTGCACCAGAGTCCCACGAGCTCCCTGGACCCAAACCCTGATCCTACTCCAATCCAAGCCCAGACCCAAACCCTGATTCAATCCCCAATCCCTGATCCTATTCCAATCCAAACCCTGATCCAAACTCTAATCCGTGCCCTGACCCAAACCCTGATCCTATTCCAATTTAAGCCCAGACCCAAACCCTGACCCAAGCCCTGATCCAATTCCAATCCAAACCCTGACCCAAACCTTGACCCAAACCTTGATCCAAACCCTGACCCAAATCCTGATCCAATTCTAATCCAAACCCTGATCCCAACCCTAACCCAAGCCTCAATCCAAACCCTGACCCCAATCCCAATCCAATTCCAATCCAAACCCTGACCCAAACCCTGATCCAAACCTTGATCCAAGCCCTGACCCAAACCCCAATCCAATTCCAACCCAAACCCTGACCCAAACCCTGATCCAAGCCCTGGCCCAGCTCTCCAGAGACAGCTCTGGGCCAAAACATCACCTGAAAAACTCAGGGTTTGAAACCACTTTTACCGGGAAATGAAGCACAAGTTGTGACTTTTGAAAGCTTGGGGAAACTGACTGCAGGAGCTGCAGGTTTTCAGCTCAGGGATTGCCCCAAACCCAGCCCTCCTGCCCTAAAGCACCTTGTCCCCAAAGCCTGAGCCAGGGGACAAAACCCCAGAGCAGCAGCAGAGCTCAGACAGCTCCAGTCCCACCCAAACCCCTCCATGAAAACACAAATCCCTGTGGATTTACCCCAAACCCGAGGGCCCTGGAGCGGGAGCTGCTCCATCAGACACAACCCAAGGATTTCCAGCAGGGAATCCAACCCAAATTATCCCAGGATACAAAAAAAAAAGGAAAGGGCCCCAAACAGCCCCAAGGAGAGAGGAGCTCGCAGGTACCAGGGCAAGATCAATTCCTGGGTAAAACACAAAAACCTCCCAGCACCCTTGGAGGGAGCTGAAATAAATCCCAGAAATTCCAAGCAGAGCAGGGGAACGATTCTCCCCCATCAGACCCAAATATTTGGATAATATTGGGCTGTTTGAGCTCATGGGAAACAAACTTTCCCTCTCTGCAAGCATCCAAACAAAAACTGGGACAAACACGAGGTTTTGTCAGCCTCCTGCTCCTCCTGGAGGGATCCTTCAATCCCAGGGGAGTTTTTTTGGGAATGTTCCACATGGCCCACAGGGAAATCCAGGGGAAAAACAACAAATCTGCAGCAGAGACCAAAAAAAAATCCTCAAAAAATTCAGATTTATTCTGCAAGGAGCCCCCTGACTCCAGCATTCCTGCAAGGAGCATCCTGATTCCAGCTCCAAAGGTGTGGTGATGGCAAAGAAAATGAGGGTAAAAATGAAAAGTGACATTAAAAACTCCCTGAAAATGGGGACCAACTCCAAGACCGAGGATTTTTTTTCTGTGTGTTTACAAAGCCTTCAGTCCTTTTCCAGCTAAACAATCCCCTTTTATCCACTCCAGCTGCAGCATCAGCTGGAACGAGCTGAAATCCCCACTCCCAACAGGAGCTGGAGCTTTGCCAAGCGAAATTTTGCCATTTCCATGTTTGCCAAACTTTGCCTCTCCTGGGGGAATCCGGGAGCCTCAGCTGGGTTTGGAACAGGTCAAAAACGAGGGGATTTCCTTGCCAAAACTGAGATATTTTAGGAAAACAGCTCTGGAAGGAGAGGAGCCTTTGGAATATTCTGGTGCTGTACCAGATCCCACTCCTTCCATCTCTCAGGTGTTTTTACTATTCTCCAAGAGTCTCCCAAGCCCCTGTGCCTGGGTGGAAATGGAATTAAACCCCTGGGACATAAGGGGTTTAATTTCATTAATTCCAGCCCCAGCCTCGTTTTCCCTCCAGGGAACTTCAGACTTGGATCAAGTTTTGACTGTAAATAACAGGGAATGAGTGAAATTTAGGGCTGATTCCCAAGCAGGAAAGGGTCTCTGGGAGATAAGGGAAATATCAACAAACTGATAGCAGAGACAAAGCTGGGGATTCCTCAGAACCAGGAGGAATTCTTCCAGCCAGGAAGGCTGTGGATAAACATCCTCAAACACAGATCCAAAGGCACGGCAGAGGCACTAAAAACAAGATAAACACGGACCAAAAGGCAGAGCTTGGCTTAATCGGGGCACTTTGAGGAGGATCTGCAAATTCTGCTGTCAAAATTCCGCTGTCCAAATTCCTCTGTCAAGATTCTTCCCAGAACAAAAACACAGCAGAAAGAGCAAATGAAGGTTTTTTTTTCTCCTGCATTTCTGGTTCAAGATCCCCCCAGTTTTGTGTGCCATCCAGCAAAGCCAAGTGTGGGAATTTTCTGCTGAATCCTGGCTCCAGCTGGAATTAAAAGCTTTTTTTTATTTTTTTTTTTTTTTCGAGACAAGCCCAGCCCTGCACCTCACCCTCGGATCCCTTCTAAATCTTAACTTCACTTTCTACTGCTCCTCTGGCAGGAATTCAGCCAGGGAAGCCCTGGAGCTGCAGCACTCTGTCCTGCTCCACCCCAATCATTAACCCAGAGCCACAAACCCCCACATTTCCCAGATTTCTGGGCATATCAGGTGCAGTTTTACCCCTGAAGCCCAAACCCCTCTTCCAGAGGGTTTGCTTCTAGCATTTGGGGAAATCAGGAGGATTTTTTTGCTTCCCTGAAAACCTCAGTTCCAAGGAAGGGGCTCCTTGGCCCCATTGCTGCTCTGACACCTCCTCATCCCTGACATCCCCCAATTTCTGCCCTGACACCCCTCAATTGCTGCCCTGACACCCCCATAGCTCTGACACCCCCACAAATGCCCCCTCAGCCCTGAGATCCCCCCTCAAACCTCTCCTCAGCCACGGGGAAAGGGGCTCCTCGGTGCCACCATCGCCCTCACTCCCTCACGGATCCCTCACTCCCACTCAGGGCTGAGGAAGGGGCTCCTCACTCCCTCTCACCCCTCAGGGCTGAGGAAGGGGCTCCTCACACCCCTCAGAGCTCCCTCAGGAATGAGGAAGGGGCTCCTCACTCCCCCTCACCCCTCACAGCCCCCTCAGCCATGGGGAAGGGGCTCCTCACTCCCTCTCAACCCTCACAGCCCTCACACGGCTGAGGAAGGGGCTCCTCACACCTCTCAGAGCTCCCTCAGGAATGAGGAAGGGGCTCCTCACTCCCCTCAGGGCTGAGGAAGGGGCTCCTCACACCCCTCACAGCCCCCTCAGGAATGAGGAAGGGGCTCCTCCCTCCCCCTCACCTCTCACAGCCCCCTCAGCCATGGGGAAGGGGCTCCTCCCTCCCCCTCACCCCTCACAACTCCCTCAGGAATGAGGAAGGGGCTCCTCACTCCCTCTCACCCCTCAGGGCTGAGGAAGGGGCTCCTCACACCCCTCAGAGCTCCCTCAGGAATGAGGAAGGGGCTCCTCACTCCCCCTCACCCCTCACAGCCCCCTCAGCCATGGGGAAGGGGGCTCCTCACTCCCTCTCAACCCTCACAGCCCTCACACGGCTGAGGAAGGGGCTCCTCACACCTCTCACCCCTCAGGGCTGAGGAAGGGGCTCCTCCCTCCCTCTCACAGCCCTCACAGCACTCAGGGCTGAGGAAGGGGCTCCTCACACCTCTCACAGCCCCCTCAGGAATGGGGAAGGGGCTCCTCCCTCCCCCTCACCCCTCACAGCCCCCCTCAGCCATGGGGAAGGGGCTCCTCGACCCGCTCCCTCAGGCCCAGCCCCGATCCCCTCCCTCACCCCGATCCCGCTCAGCCCTCCCGGCCCGGCCTGGTGCCCCCTAGCCCCCGGTGCCGTACCCGAGAGCCCTCCCGGCCCGGTGCCCCTGATTCCCGGTGTCCCCTGACCCCCGGTGCCGTACCCGAGAGCCCTCCCGGCCCGGTGCCCCTGATTCCCGGTGCCCCCTGATCCCCGGTGCCGTACCCGAGAGCCCTCCCGGCCCGGTGCCCCTGATTCCCGGTGCTCCCTGACCCCCGGTGCCGTACCCGAGAGCCCGCCGGCCGCAGCCGTGCCGGGCTGGCGCAGCGCGGGCACGACGCTCCAGGCGCAGAAGGCCGAGAGGCCGCTCAGGGCACCGAAGGACGCGTAGGCGACACGGAGCGCCAGGGCCCCGCTCAGCGCCATGGCGGCCTCGGCGCGGCCCGCCCACGGCACCGCGACACGCCCCGGGAACGGCACCGGGACACGCCCCGGGAACGGCAACGGGACACGCCTCGGGAACGGGACACTCCCCGGGACACGGCACCGGGACACGCCCCGGGAATGGCAATGGCAACGGGACACTCCTCAGGACACGGCGCCGTCCACCGGGATCTGGATATGCCCACAGACACCGGGACACGCCCACCGGGACCGGACCCAGACCGGGACACGCCCACAAATACCGGGACACGCCCACAGGGAGCGGGACACTCCCACCGAGACCGGGACCCAGACCGGGTCACGCCCACAGACACCTGGACACGCCCCCGCCCCAGCGCGCTCCCTGGCGGGCGGGAGGACCGAGGAGGGGACACGAAGGGACGGGGACACCGGGGGGGACACGGACAGCACGGGGGCGTGGGGACACGGAGAACACCGGGGGGACACGGAGAACACCGGGGGGACACGGGCGGCACACGGGGGCGTGGGGACACCGCGATGCCGCGGGACACAGGGCTCAGGTGGGGGACACGGGGGACACCGGGCGGTGGGAGCGTGTGGCCTCGGGGACATCTCCGAGTGGCTTTCGCTTCCCCCCGGCCCGTCCTGTGGGATTGCGGTCTGGGGGCACCTCATCAAAATCCTCAAAGACTTTTTGGGGCTTTTCCGTTCCCTTTTCTCCCTTCCTCTTTTTTTATTTTTTATTTTTTTGAACCCTCAAAATCCCCTGAAATCCCAAAACCCCGTGAAACCCCAAAACCCGGTGAAACCCCAAAACCCCCCTGAAACCCCAAAATCCTGCAAAACCCCGTGAAACTCCAAAACCCAAAAAATTCCGTGAAACCCCAAAACCCAGTGAAACCACGAAACCCCAAAAACCCCCAAAACCCTGCAAAACCCCAAAACCCCCGTGAAACTCCAAAATCCTGCAAAGCCCCAAAATCCCCCTGAAACCCCAAAACCCCGTGAAACCCCAAAACCCGGTGAAACCCCAAAACCCCCCTGAAACCCCAAAATCCCCAAAACCCCCTCTGTCCTCGGGCAGGACCCGCAGCTCCCGCCCCGCCGGGGAGAGGCGCGGCCGCCGCGGGATTTTAAGCTTAAAACCCTGGAGAGCAGCAGAACAAAAATCTCATTTCGTGCTGCCGCTGCAGGAATTCGGCAGCGAACGAGCGGCGTCAGCAGCGCCAGGTGAAAGCAGCTCCATCCTCCCTCCCCACGCCCCATTCCCCCCGGGAATTTTGGGGCCGATTTTGTCATCCCGGTTCTGCTGACTCTGCCCGGGCCTGGCAAATGCTGGGGGGTGAATTTTGTACGGGTGGGGAACGGCTCCGAGCTGAGCACGAGTGAAATGTGGCATTGGTTTTTGATTTTTTCGAGTTTTTTGGGGGGTTTTTTGGGGTTTTTTTGGGGGTTTGTTTCAGGATTTTTTTTTAAATTGTTTTTCTTGGGGTTTTCTTTGCTTGGTTGGTTTGGTTTTTGGGTTGGTTTTTTGTTTTGGGTTTTTTGGTTTTTTTTTTTTTTTTTGGTTTTTTTTTTTTTGTATTTTTTTATTTTTTGGTTGGTTGGGTTTTTGTGGAGTTCTTTTAGTTTTTTGGTTTGGTTTTTTTGATTTTTTGTTTCACTTTTTTGACCCAAAATTGGCTTCCTCAGCAGTTCCCACCCCAGGCAGCAGCTCTGGGTGACACCTGGATTTTCCAGAGGTGGATGGGATGGAAATGAGGACGGGGAGAGGAGGAGGAGGAGGAGGAGGAGAAGGAGAAGGAACCACTCCTCCACCCCACCCCAGCCCAGCAGCTCCCACCCATTTTTTTCCCACTTTTTGACCCAAAATTGGCTTCCTCAGCAGTGCCCACCCCAGGCAGCAGCTCCGGGTGACACCCGAGGTGACAGCTGGCTTTCCAGAGCTGCGGACCTTGCCCCGTTCCCAGCCTCGGGAACAGCTGGGAAACAGCCGGATTTACCGGATCCTTCCTCCTCCTCCCTCCTCCTCCTCCTCCCTCCCGGGGGCTGGAGCTGGGAACAAAAGGAGGAAAATCATCCGGGATGGGGACAGCCCTGTTTGCTTCCCGAGAGCCAGGAACAGCCTGGAGTTCTGTCCTTGAGGCCGTTTTGTTTTCCCCCTTTTAAAGGAACATTTCAGCCGTGAGAAGAGCGGGGATTGAGAGCCCAGAAAGGGAAAGGGAGAAGGAAAAGTTGAGGAAATGGGGAGATCCCGGCTTGCTCTGGTGTGAGGAATGGTCACAAATCCCGTCTTTGGGAAGAAAGAAATCACATTTTTGGGAAAAATAAACAAATCCCATCTTTGGGAAGAGCAAATCCCATCTTTGGGAAGAACAAATCACATTTTTGGGAAAAACAGGTCCCATCTTTGGGAAGAACAAATCCCATTTTTTGGAAAGAACAAATCCCATCTTTGAGAAAAATAGACAAATCCCATCTTTGAGAAAAATAAACAAATCCCATCTTTGGAAAAAAAAAAATCCCATCTCTGGGAAGAACAAATCCCCTCTTTTGGGAAAAATAAACAAATCCCACCTTTGAGAAAAACAGATCCCATCTTTGGGAAAAATAAACAGATCCCATCTTTGGGAAAAATAAACAAATCCCAGCTTTGGGAAAAAGAAACAAATTCCATTTTTTGGAAAAACAAATCACACCTTTGGGAAAAACAGATCCCATCTTTGGGAAGAACAAATCCTATCTTTGGGAAGAACAAATCCCATCTTTGGGAAAAACAGATCCCATCTTTGGGAAAAAACAAATCCCATTTTTGGGAAAAACAAATCCCATTTTTGGGAAAAACAGATCCCATCTTTAGGAAAAGCATTCCTTTTCTTTCTCCTCTCTCTGGGTTACTGGTGGGACTCAGTGACCTTAGCGGGCTTTTCCAACCTGAACAATTCCACTTTTTCCCACTTTTCCACGAAGTTCTGGACGCCCAGCTCTCGCTGGGCTCAGATCTGAAGGAGCTCGCAGCTCCTCGCAGACGCAGATCTGGGAATTGTTTCAGGAAGAAGCCGAGCGAGCACGAAGGACCGGGAGAACAAGACGCATCACGTTCCCTAAATGATAATGAGGGAATGAAATTAAACCACCTGGGAGACCAAAACTCTCCTTCCTTCCTTCCTGGCCTCCTCAGGAGCAGCATCCCCTCCACGGCAGCAATTCCTGCCTGAGCTGTCGCCCGTGGACGATCCAGAAATGAATCACGCCCAGAATTGGGCAACGCGGCTCAGATAATTCCTAAAGCTGTTGTTTCGACCCGATAAAACCCCGCGTAACAACAAGGGGCATCCCATAATTTGTGTTAATTCCGGAATTGCTGCTAATTCCGGCCCAATTAGGAGATAAAACACGGCGGTGGAGCCGCTTATTAAATTACAAATCATCCCGGCTAAATCCGAGGATTATTTAACGCCGAGGGTTTGGGGAAGGCACGCGGGAAACTGCGCCGGAATAACGATGTCAGAGGGGAGCAGAGCGTTAATCAAAGTAATGAAAACATAAATTAGGGGAGGCCGGGCCAATAAACAGGAAATAAATAGGGTTGGAGGGAGAGAAATACATAAAGCAGCAGCATTAAAGGATAAACCCGCGGTGTGGGGAGCGCTGTAAATTCCCAACCATTTTCCCCAGGATTGGATTTTCGGGGCTGATTTGTGGCCGTGTCCCGGCGAACCGGGGAGATGATAAATACAGAAGATTTCCTGCACCCCCAGCTGCCAGCCAAACCCTCCTGGGGGACAGCGAGGGCTCCCAGGTTCCTCCTGGAATTTTTGCCATGCCAAGGGACGAGATCCGGCCGCTCATTCCCGGGAAACGGAGCCAAAATAGGGGATGGAGTGAAAATATTGGGATTTAATTTGATTTCACTCCGTTCTGCCTTTGAGGGGGAGAAGGACGGCGAGCTGGGTCAGATGGATCTGCAAATCCACTTCAGGATTTGGGAGCAGGGTCAGCGTTTGGTGCCCTATGGATCAATGAATCCACTTTAGGATTTGGGAGCAGGGTCAGCATTTGGTGCCCTCTGGATCTGTGAATCCCCTTTAGGATTTGGGAGCAGGGTCAGCATTTGGTGCCCTCTGGATCTGTGAATCCATTTTAGGATTTGGAGCAGGGTCAGCGTTTTCTCCCCATGGATCAGCGAATCCCCTTTGGGGTTTGGGAGCAGGGTCAGCATTTGGTGCCCTCTGGATCTGTGAATCCCCTTTAGGATTTGGGAGCAGGGTCAGCGTTTGCTCCCCTATGGATTTTTGAATCCACTTTAGGATTTGGGAGCAGGGTCAGCGTTTTCTCCCCTATGGATCAGCGAATCCCCTTCAGGATTTGGGACGTCGGGAAGAGATTCCTGCCAGGAGGGCGCTGAGGCCAGGCCTGCCCAAAGCCAGGGAGCCGGGCAGGGAGCCGAGATCGATTAATGATTGTCCAGGGAGCCGAAGGAGCGGGGCTCCGCGGGCGATAGAGGCTGATAAGGCAGAGCTGGCAGGGCTGGAGCGGCTATCCAGAGCCGGGCAGCCCCCGGGAACGGCCGGGATCCGTGATCCCGCTCCGCACCGGGCACGGCCGCGGCTCCCGGCGGCTCCCGAGCCGGGAAGGGCAGCGGGAGCACTGGGAGGGATGGGATTGTCCGGGCAGGGAGAGGGATGAGGGACCAGCGGTGTCCCCGGGCTCAGGGACAGCCCAGGGACACGTGTGGGAAATGGATTTGTGGAAAATTTGGTAGGTCAAAAAATGCTTATATTATATATTATAATTATATAGTTGTATAATATTTTAAACACTAAAATTAAATTGTTTATATTTTAAATATTAAAATTTATATAAAACATTAACAAGTATATAACACAGTATTACAGTATATTGTATTATATTATGTTATATTATATTATATCACAATTATAATAAAATATTATTTATAATATATAATTTTAATTAAGAAATAGTTGGCTTCTGATTTTGATAGCGCGAATTCTGTCTCACCCTTGTCCTAGGACTAAAAATAGAATAACGGGAGCTGTTCCCAGGAATGAGGGGTGGGAAAGGAAAGGGGTGGGGGGACCCCATTGGGTGTGAAATGGGATGGGGAGGGCTGGGATGGGATGGGATTGGGGATGGAAATGGGAAAGGGGGGATAGGATAGGGTGGGATAAGATGGAATGTGATAGGGTGGGATGGGATGGGA